GTGATGCTCTCTCCCAAAGGCTTGCCAACCACAAACCCAGAATTCGCCGCTCCAAGCTCAAAAACCTTGGTTCCACGCAGCCAAGTCTCCTTCACACGACCAGTGAACTGATGGCCCTCCCACGGTGAGCAGCGGTTCTTCCATCGCATATCACCCTGTGAAAATGTCCACTCGTCTGCATCGTCAAAGACACAGATATCTGCATCCATGCCCACTCTGATAGCGCCCTTGCGATGCGAGAGACCGACTTGGGCGGCTGTGGCTTGGCAGCAGAGACGAACAATGTCGGTGATGCTGGGTGTCTTGGAGAAGTCGCTGCGCTTCTTGGCTGCGGTGTAAAGGATGGGGAGACCAAGACCGACGGAAGAGATGCCGCCCCAGGCTGCGAAGAAATCACCACGTTCCTTCTCAGCCTTCTGAACCTCGGAGGATTGTGTCACATCGATGCCGGAGTCGTTGTGGGGGATGTTAGGTCGGTCGGCGTCGAGATGTTGAGGGAGGAGCTTGAGTTGAGGTGTGCAGGGTGAGTGATCCGACACAACAGTCTTGATACATGAGTCCTCAGCGACGAGCTCATCCCAAAGACCATCGCGATTCTTTCCCTCACGAATAGGAGGACAGCACTTGTGTCGAGTGTCGCCCTTTTCAATCTCCTCGGCCGTGAGACCGAGATAGTGGAAGCAAGTCTCGGCTGTGATGTTGATGCCTGCCTTGCGAGCTGCCTTGAGGATAGGAATGCACTGGGTAGCGGACAGATGAACGATGTGAAGGTGTAGTGAGGGGGCAATGTGTGCTTGGCTGAGAATCTCCTCGATGGCGTATGTTTCGAAAGCAGGGGGTCGAGATTCGAGGAAGGTCTTGTATGCAGTGAGTTCACCGGTGGGAGACAGGGGAGGTTCTGAGGTCTGAACGTCATCGCCGACGGATTGAGTGATGGGAGGGATCATTTCGGCGTGGAACATGAGTGTGGTAGGGCTGTCCTTGAGAGTCTCCATGGCGAGAGCGATATCCTTGGAAGATACAGCAGGGAACTCAGGGACCTATGATGAATGTCAGCTTGCGGTTTAACTTGACAAAACAAGAAACTTACACCAGACTCGATCAAGAATCCCTTAAATCCTCGAACGCCAGCTTCGACAAGGGGTCTCAGCTCATTAGCATTACCCGGAATAACACCACCATAGAACCCGACATCAACCCAGCACTGTCCTTGACTCGCCCTCAACTTCTCCTCAAACCCATGAAGGGTGGTAGTAGGAGGAATAGCATTCAGCGGCATGTCAACAACAGTAGTGACACCACCGCTGGCTGCAGCACGGGTACCAGTCCAAAAGCCCTCCCACTCCGTGCGACCAGGCTCGTTCAAGTGAACATGAGCGTCGACGAGACCGGGCAGGAGAAGCTTAGGAGTATGGTCGACATACTCGGTACCAGGGGGGAAGCTTGTTGAGGGGAGGACTTCGGGGATGACAGAGATGATCTTTCCGGTGATGGGGCTGACGACAATGGAAGCGGGAGTGACAACGAGAGAGTCATCAGGAAGAGTGACGACGACCCGAGAGGAGACAAGGACAGAGAGAGGACCCTCAGGGTATTGCTCAGCGTTTGAAGTTGTCATGATGGGCAGAGATAACGGTCGATGAACCAAACAGGGGTAAGAATAAAGAGAAGAAAAAAAAGAAAGAGAACGAAACTCAATCCGAAGCAAAAAAGATAAAGCTACAGCTTATCAAAAAATCCGGGGAATCCTAGTTTCTATCCCGTTTCGTCCTCGTGCTTCTCGCCGAGGTCTTTACTCGTTCTCTTATCCCTCTTATCTCTACACCTGATGGAGGGGCTGAGCACGGGATTGGTGGGGTTGTCCTGACGTGAAAGATAAGAAACAAAAAACGTCAGATGAGAGGGAGCACCAAGATAAGAGCAACAGGCTAAGATCGAGTGATCGGAGAATTTCCTTATCAAAGAGGACGAGACAATTGGGTCAAGTTAATGGATACAGAGAAGAAGAAGAAAAGCCACCCCCAGAATCCGGGAATGGCCTCGCTCTTATCGAGATTTCTCGGCTCGGGGAAATCATCGTACAATCGAATTTCATTATTCGATCAAAACCTCAGTTTCCAATTCCTGATCCCAGTTCCTGATCCCAGTTCCGGCTTTTCAGGTCCCACTTACAGAAAAGCTTAGCTTATCGAACCTCGAAAACGAGAATTTCAGGGTCCATCGGACACTGCCGACGTCCGCCTGGCCAATCAGACACTGAACCCTTTACGCCGATGGTGATTGAATCGAGTAACCATCGAGTAATGCCATCTTGGGATAGGTAAGTTCCCAACGGTGCGGCTTCGGATGATTTCGTTAGTTTTCGTTTTCTCATCCCTTGGACCCTTTCCTCGGTCGACTGAGGCTATTCGGGGTCTACAGTCAGCACATGTTCTCGTGTTCCAGGGCCGAATGACTACAGAACACGTTTTCATTACTCGATCAAAAGTCATCGTCGTTGGTGTTGGCCCCGCGGAAGTGCATGATCAGAGGTCTAGCTGAGGATTACTCGATCACCCAATTCGGCAACACTCCATCATCGCAGCGAGTATTACTCGATCATGAGCATGGGCTATTACTCGATCAAAACACCAAGTTCAGCCAGCATACACACATAATTCTCCATACCCGAGGTTACCAAAAGTCTAAAGCGTCATCTTTGAAGTTTGAACTCCCTTGCCAAGCTCCCTTGCCAAGCTCCCACGCCCTCTTATGACAACGTCAAGTGCAGTAAGTAAGTGAGTAAGAAACAGGTAACAATCATACACGCATCACTTTCCTGTCCCCGTCTAGACGTTCTCGTTCTGTAACAAAGGGAGTCTAAGCACAATCATACAGTAAGTACACCATCATGCCCCAGCTGACCAAAATCCCGCCCATGACTTTTTGACCAAAATGTTGCTTTTGTTCTCTCTTGTCCTCCGTCATGAAAAAAAAATGAAAAAAGAATAAATGTGATGCGATGTGATGTGATATTCGTACACGGCGTATATCCCGCCTTTTTCATCTCCTTAGTGTAGGTATGCCCGTTACTTCTGTCGCTTGAGCGACTTATGCGCCATCTCGATCAATCCGTCCTTAGCCTCACTCTCGGGGAATTCCGCAATCGAGGCAATAGCTTTATCCACGTATTCTTGCGCAAGAGCCCTCGTCTGCTCAATGCCGTCGCTCTGAAGAACCAACTCACGTGCCTGCACCATTGGTTATTAGCATGGATTATCTCCAACAGATGTGATTCGTCAGAAGAACAAAGAGTGAATGCAGCCTAACTTACCCTTTGTACGTCACCCTCCTGGGCAAACTTGCGGCCAACGAGGGCTCCGAGTTCCGGCATCTGCTTCCAGGCAAACAGCAGCGGTGCTGTCGCGAGACCCAGCTCCAAATCTGCCCCCGCAGGCTTACCCAGATCCGATCCGCTCTGTGTATAGTCCAAAAGGTCGTCTACCAACTGGAAAGCCAGTCCCAGGTTTCGTCCATACGAGTAAGCGGCGTCGACTGTCACAGCATCCGTGTTACCCAGCAAAGCGGCAGCTCGGCAAGACTTTGAGATAAGCGATGCGGTCTTAAGGTACGTCTTTTGCAGGTAGTATGTGACGGTCTCCTCCGACCACTTGGGATTCCTCTCGTCCCGCTCTGTGTTCTTGAGCTGCATGAACTCGCCCTCTACGAGGTTAGCGATAACAGTAGCCAGAAGCTCGACAACCTCTGGGTTTCGAAGACGAGCCAGCGCAACAGATGCCCTGCCCAGCAGGAAGTCACCCGCCAGAACAGCCATCTTGTTGCCAAATTCCAAATTTGCCGAGGGCGAACCACGTCGAGAAATAGAGTGATCGATAACGTCATCGTGAAGAAGAGAGGCCGTGTGGATCAGCTCCGTGATTTCGGCAAGTCGTCGTTGGCTGGGAAGAATATCGGAGTTTGCATCGGGGACTTCTTGTTCGAGAGATGATAGAGGCTGAGCAGAAGGGTTCACATCGGCGAGGATCTGAGCTGGCGATATCGAGGTGTCGACGCCACGGTGGGTAACTATAGGAGCCGTAGGAGGAGTCTTTGGGCAGAGATATGTAGCTCTACTCATGAGGAGAACGATCAATGGTCTGACATGCTTGCCCTCAGCCTGGGTATAATATTTGGCAGCACGGTCAAGCGAAGGATGGCCTGAACCGAGGAGTTTTCGAATATTGCCCGTGAGGAACTTCATCTCTTTGGCGACAGTCCGCAGAGGATCGACATGCATTGCATCCTTGGAAGCCTTCTTAACGACATTGCTTACGACATTGGAAGCGACCTGAACAGCCGCACCCCAGGCTGAGTCCCTTCGAGGACTAGTATGCAACGAAGCGCTGTGTATCCTCGAGGGAGATCGACTGACAGTCAATTGTCTGCACAGAGCGCAAGCTGGAGCAGCAGGACTTGTCCTCGTCCACAAGGCCTGTCTGTTCATGGTGCCGCGCACCACCGAGGCCCCCGGACGGAGCATCGTAGCGGAGCTATATGGATAAATTCCCGAAGTGAATGAATCGACTGTTATAACGGCATTCGTTTAATTGTATCGCTTTGTCCGGGTCGTTCGTAGGCGGGTTGGTAGTTTTTCAGATCGTCAATGGCGAGGGAAATTTTGTTCGATGGCTGTTGGATTCTCGATTGATCCGATTCTCTAAACTTTTCCAGCTCTAGCTGTGTTCTGCTAAGCCGGGGGGATTGCGGGTCCGTTCGGCGAGCAGCCGATAACAGGCCGTCAAAAGGCAGGATGTGATTGGACGGATTGGGTATGGGGCCGTTGAGCTAAGCGTCAGCGGATGAATCGCTACGGAACTGGCCTGGAAATAGCAGATGCCTGTTGACCAAGCTTTGGCCTTTGATACGTTTCAGTCAAGCATCAACATCAGTTCATGACGACGTTGCTACTACTGAGCTTGTACCGGCTATTTTAACACAATAATTTGTTTAGGAGGTGCACCATGGTGCTACTTACAATGACGTCCTCTATTCTGGAGGCGTTGTCGCTTGTCGAAGCTACAGAAACACCACAAATCGAAGATCACGACGAAACAGAGGAACAAGAATCACAGCAACCCACCCAAGAATCTACCCAAGAACCTACCTTGGACGACCCGAAACTTGGAAATCCCATATCGCATGGCCAAATAGTTGATCTGTGGAAACAACTGAAAGCCCAAGGCAGCTCAAACTTCTCCCTCGAACAACTCCTCCGCGGCGCATCCGTCTACATCCCTCCTCCGCCTCCCAAACCCGAACCCGTAAGCCATCCCAAATCTCTCCTCTTCTCCTTTCCTCATACTGAAAACTGCAGTCCCCTGAATACAAAGCCCTAATGGCCCGTCTTCGCCGTGAAGAAGAAGCCCGTAGCTACGAACGAATGATAAACCCCCCTCCCCAACACGAAACCTTCAAAGACCACTTCCCTTCCAGCGCCGCCTCCTTCGCCGCCGCAAACCGACCAACATCTTCCGCAGACCTCGGCGACGACGACATGGCGATGGAAGAAGTGCACAAGCAAGTCACGCTGATCATCAACTTCCTCGTCAGCATCGCCGGCGTCGCGGGAACATTATGGGTTACAGCGCGGTGGTGGAGTTTGCCGGCACGCATGTTTCTGACGATGGGGGGGAGTATTCTCGTTGCTATAGCGGAGGTTGTGGTGTATAATGCGTATATTTGGAAGATGGACCAGGGGAGGAAGAAGCATGGGAAGGTAAAGGAGGTCAGGGAGGTTGTTGAGAGTTGGGTGCTGGGGAAGGACGAGGACGAGAAGAGTGTTTTGATCAAGGAGAAGGATAGGACGGAAGATGGAGTGAGGAAACGAAAGATGGAAGCGAAGGTCGAGACATAATCTAAGCATATACTGCAATATTAATATTTAATTACGAGAGAATGAGAATATCAGCTTCATAACTGGCACTGCGATATTCGCTTCGCATCGATATCGATATCGAAGCTTCTTCGCAATTCCCAGATTCGATACAGAAACTTTACTCGGCAACAGCATGTTCATGACTTCGAGCAAAAGCACAGGCATTGGGTAGCAGTCATGATGGCGGTGATATCATGGCTCGGGACCATGTGACTGCGCGCCAGACGCGTCTCGACGCGTCTTCCCAGTTTAGTGGGGCTTCTGTCACTTTAATTGTTTCTCTCCTCGACACGCCTCAATTTCGAGGTCAAGACTTGATCCATTGTTCATTTAGTTAACTTATTTCTTTCATTCTTCCGGTCTCTTTTTTTCCTCATATTAATTGTATATAACCTTTTATACTCACCCGACTTTATACGGGACTGCAGTGTAGCCTGTTCAAGTGCATCACCACACGATAGCAACACAGATTTGGGTTGATGTCGGACAGCATGATAATTAATTGAAGCGCGAACCCTCACAATGTACGATTCTTCAGCTCTTATCGTGTCAGTGGAGATGTGCTGACTCAATCAGGTGTGCAAGCCCAGCGCCATCGGTATCGCGATCACGCGCCAAACCATTACGAACATATGGCAAACGAAGCATTCGAGACGATTCGCCGAAAGAGCCAAACACCAAGAAACGAAGGTTATCAGCAGAAGCAACAACTTCTGAGCCGACATCCAAAGGCACAGACACGGCGCCGCTGAAGAAGGTCACGAAAGAGGCGAAGAACACACCTGAATCGACAACAACGAACAAAATTATCGCCGAGCCAGTCAAGAAGGGGTCAATACTGAACTTCTTCAAACCTGTACCTCCATCATCTACAGTTACTTCCAGTCCAAAGAGCGACGAGCCTCAACCCGAATCGACACCCCCATCCTCACCACCACAACCCCCAAAGATAGAACCCCGAAAGAAACCGCGCTTATTACGCTTCCGCGGTACATCAACCCCATTACTAGATGACGAGAACACGGGAGGTGATATACAAGGCGAGGATACAGAAGCCGAAGATTCTGGCACCAGATCCACTCGGCCCGCTGTTCAAGAGAGCTCCTTGAATCGAGAACAGAACACAAACGACTCAAAGCCAGGAAAGAGAGGGAAGACGAAAACACCAACCGTACAAACGACACTGAATTTATCCTTGCAAGCAGCGTTTTCGGAGTGCAAGGTGTGCAATACTGTGTGGAATCCGCGGTATCCAGATGATGTGAAGTTTCATACGAAACAGCACGCGGCTGTTCTGAGGGCGAAGAAGAAGGAGAAGGAGAGTGAATTATAGAACTTGATACCCATTTATGAATGATGAATTGCATTGAACATTGAGTTTTTGTGTTGGTGTGACTGGATGCAAGGAGACTGTCTTACGGTTACAACTATCGAAGGGGACGTAAAGATAGAGAAAGGGGGATTCTGCCAACTAAGAAAACAAATCTGAAGAAAGTAAAAGTAAGCTCTGGAACTTCGTAGCCCGAGCCTGACTGAGGAACACAAAAATTCTGAAATATGCGTGCCAACTAGTTTCCTAGAGTAATTCCCCTCCTGATTCATAATACATAATACACCGTGAGCTTAGTTCAGTCACGGAGTGAGTACAGGATAATAATGAAAGTGCCTATCTTAACCATCACCCAAGCAGGCAAAAGTCCAGAAGAACATCACACGGGCGGACCCAAACTCATCCGAAAAGGAGATTCATCCCAAGCAATAAAAGAAACATGCTTTCGGGTCAGCTGGTCACTTAAACGTCTCGTTTAATCTACTGTGTCAAGGATGTTAAGCACAGTGTCCCGACTTGCTGTTGAATAATAGCCTGTATCCTTCTCATGCTAGTCGGCCAAAATCATGCTTTCGAGCGCCAATTCCTAGAGTCGTTCCTCTGGTCGACGAAGCGGAGGTTCTACCACTTCGCTTGTGGGTTGAAGGGCGGGAGTCCTCCGTATGAAGTCATTCACGCTGTTATGCAAAAGCCCCATTGACTGGCCAGCGATGTTTGGAACTAGTGAAAGACCATACATAGATATTGTTGCGTATGGATTGTCGACTGTCGCTGCCCGTCTGATCCTGGCCAAATTGCTTTTGATATTTGCCGTCCAGCCATGTGCTCTTTCATTTCCTTCTTGTCAAACTTGCGCCAGCAACGCAAACAAACAGCAACACCATGGCGTCTGAAGCCTGCAAAGTCTCTATCATTCCATTCAGATAGCGAACTGCATTTCACGCGGTCGCCTTCCACTTTCACAAATGGATTAGAGCTCTGACAGCCTGCTGAGTATTTGCGAGCTATATACTGCGGGTTGCATCTACGAATGAGCCCATGGTGATCGATGGCATGTGAGATAAGATGTGATATTTTGGAACTCTGGCCGCTATATGCATGCGTGCCAACTGACGAGAATCGCTTCGGGTCGAACAGCCACAAGAAGCAGGTTTCAGAAGCATCTGCAAAATCCTGAGGCAGAACTGGTCTGCGTGAAAGACTACCTGTTGCCTCACCCCGTTGTGCAATTGATGAGCCAGGGTCGATATGAGAAGGTGAAGGTAGAATATCATAAGTTCGGCGTTGAGTGTCCTGTGTTACATCGACCCACGCTTCTTGCGAGAGTACTGCAGCTAGCTGGAGCCAACTTAAGTTTTACCCTAGCGAAGCAGTCGGTCCTGTGTCTTTATTGCGTGGTTGAGGTCCGGATGAAGCGGCTGAAATAGTTGACCAGTCTCGAGAGGGCAGCGAGTTTTTCGGGCCTTCCCTCATCATGGTTTCCACTGTCGTGGTATCTTGTCTTGTGTTCGAGTATAAGTCGGGATGGCTGAGACCTGGGTTGTTGCTGGAGCCATTGTTGGACTTCGATGTTGGACTCATGAAGCCTATCACGCTGTAGCTCTTCCAGCTCGAAAGCGCCAAGGTTTCTGATCGACAATATGCCGGGGTTCGTTGAGTCAGGGTGTAATCCTGTGCTCAGCTACAAATCACCCGTTGAGTGTTGTCCTTGCTCCTCTTGCTGCGGCATCCACATGAGGCCAACGCCAAGGCGAGCTTAAAAGTCTCTGGAAATCTTCCCAGCTGGAACAAGGTAGGCGATGCTCGTCCCAGGGCACCGGCAACGATGTGACCATAAAAGCGGTTATCGTATCTACCAAAGACTGCAGTTCCGCAATCTCCATCGTGTAAAGGCTTATCCAATTGTATGGGGAAAACTTCTTGAAAGGTGACCTGTTCAGGAAGGCGAATTTAGGATGGTGTGGCGGTAAGTCGCCCTCCGACTTGGGAACCTGGCGATGTCGTAGCAACAATACTGATGTCGTCTAACTCTATCTCCTCAATATTCGAGACCAGAGAGCCTGTGATCACGGACGACTTCTCAGCGCTTTGACCCTGCTTGAGGTCTCAATGAGAGCGTAGTCCAATGACGGATTACCTTCGGTCAGGGACCTGGTAGCATTTGCCATCTTGCAATATGATCGGGCCGGTTGTTGCTGGGCGTAAGGAGAAGTCGTGCGGGTTGACGACAAAGATTCACTTTCCCAGCGCAGGTTCTGGTCCGTCAGCCAGAACTGCTCCATCGACACCATAACCAAGAGGGAGGAGAGCCTCTATAGCTTCTTAAGGTAACTCTCTGATGACAGGGCGGTCGGGTAATGCCGAAACATCCCCAAGTCCTATACCAGGGTATTTGTCCATGATCTTACTGTCTCTGATGAGTTTCCTCAACTTCTTACGCGTCTTCGAGTCCGTGGAGCAAATCAAAATCTCCGGTGCTGCGTTCTCCTCGGTATGTCCAACCATATAGATAGACCACGACACTATATCAGCAGGGGGGATGTTGGAAGTCTCAAGACAATTTTTAATGTCTGGGCTCAATTCGCTAAACGCCAGACGGGCTGGACCAACTGCCTCCCAACAGCGATACCTGCCACCACGCAAGAATCCGATGAATGTACCTATAGAGTCTTCAGGGTTGTTCCATTTGTCATCCTGGAAACTCAGGATTCTAGAGAATGGCATTTTGTATCATTAGAAATAGGAAACAATGAGAAAATAAAGAAGACGGATAAGAATTCAAAGGCACCAGAGCCTGACAATCCCTCAGCGAGAAAAGAGCCCATGTCTGACTTTATTACAGTAAGAGTAACGCCAGCTGACCTTACCCCGCATGTCATACATATTGCTGTGTTGTGTACTCCGTAGTGTTGAGATGCGACAGGACCAAAAGGGAAGACGTCCCTTTCAGGGGTATGCGGGTGAGTTAGGCCTGTACCTTTTAACATGTGGTGGCGGTGCAGCTAGCATTCGGGGGCCTCAAATTCAACCTTAGACTGACGGCGAACCACTGATTTAAGACTAGCTGTGATCTTCAGGACAAATTGGCTCTGTCTTTACTTTCTATAGCAGGGATCAAAGTGAAGATGTGTACCCATTTGCTCTCCAGCCGACCGGCGAAATATGCCGGAACTCGCTCACTCTCATACCTCCTTTAGGGTGAGCCAGGCACCTGCAGATTGTGGGCATGAGGCTGACTCCAAATAAATTGTTGCATATTATTGTTCTTAATTGGCTTCTTCATCGCATCCTGGCAGTGGCGTTGATAAAGCCAGTGTTGTGTTGTACATGGGTCGTTTGGGGCGTGCTACTGCCGGGTAGGGCTGAGCCAATCTGCACCGTCGATCACCGTTCCTTCAAGGCAAAGGGGAACAATTGGGAGTTTGATCCTTTGTGATCAAAACAATTGAGCTATTCGGGATTAATTTGCTATAAACTTATGAACAGAGTCGAATCTTGGAGCGATATTTCTAGTCCTGAAATGTTGTCCTCAGACCTTCGCCATGCACTTATGCTTAAAAAGCCACAGCATAGCCTTGAATCTGACGACGCATAATTGTGACTTAGTGACAGATCCTGGTTCATAGCCCACTTCACGGCAACCTATACGTGGCTGTGCTGAAGATGGAATATACAAATGTCAGCCCAGCCTGTAATCCCAATCTCTTCAATAATTCAAGCCTCTAACTAAAATCATGCCAAGAAAAGCAGGGAATGGGTGCATTACATGTCGGTAAGTGTTGGTATTTCGCGAGCCTAAGTCTTTGACTAATGGGGCCAGCATTCGTCGTGTAAAATGCGACTTGGCGAAACCGTCGTGTCAAAGATGTTTAACTTCTAAACGTCAATGCGATGGATATCTCCCCGAGGATTCAATGGTTACACGACGTCAACTTGCAGAGGCAGCACGCCAGATGTCAGTAATTGGACCAATCTCGCAAGCATTATCTCAGTATCCATGGGATAGAAGTCGTTCAGCGTCACCGACGAATCTTACCCTGTTCGATGTGTTTCGCACATTAACAGCGCCGTCGACTGCATCGTTTATACCATCGCAGTTCTGGACGAGAGAGTTGCTCCAGCTTGCACATTCTGAGCCAGCAGTATGGCACGCTACACTAGCTCTGGGCGCGCTGCATCAACGGCATGAGTTGTTCTGGCAAGGTCGTGGGTGTCACAGCGGTGAGAAATTGTGGTCGCAGGCAAATGAGAATTATGGACGCGCGATAACGTGCGCGCGAGATGTGAAGGATCCAACACAACTGCTCGCATTGAGTCTTGCGCTTCTGTCCGTTACAAACATGATGGGTCGATGGTCCGAAAGTCAAGTCCACATCATGGCTGGTCATCGGTTGCTGAGTCAAGCAGGACATGGCTCCGAGACATCAGGTGCTGCGGAGATATTGACGCGGTTGGACTTGATGGCCATGACATTCTCCGATTCATCAGCGCCGTATCCTTATAAACTTGCGCCGAGAACGGTGTGGATCGATGAGTACATGAAGACCGCGGAGATAGAGAGCTATGGACAAGCAGGCACGGCGTTGTTCGGAATGATGAGAAGACTTATGATGTTGTCTGAGACGACGGCACCAGGAGATGAAGAGGGTGCTGCGAAAGACCTCGTGATGCTGCATCTCACAATGGAGGACCTCGCCTCGTGGGAGAACAAGATGGCCCAGTTCGAGAGGAAGCACCCGAATCCACACGACGAAACAGGCGCCGTGTCCATCAGAATGTATCACACAATGCTACGCATGTTCCTATCAGGAGGCGCTTTCGGCCCAGAAACACGATGGGACAGATTCCTAGGCCACTACGAACGCATCCTCACACTCGCAGAAACACTCTGGTCCAACACACCACCCTCCCAAGTCCAATCCCCTCTATCTTTAGAATCAGGCTTCATAGTGCCCGTCTTCATGGTCACCCAGCGCTGTCGGCATCCCTGGCTACGTCGTCGTGCGATTAGTTTCCTCTACAAGATCAAACGCCAAGAAGGAATGTGGCACAGCGACGGTGCAGCAGCAGTAGGTCAGCGAATAATGGAGATTGAAGGGCAGAAGTACTTTGCTAGCGATTTGGCTTCTCCGTTGGAGGCGATGGAGGATGTTCCTTGGGAGGCGTGGGCGGAGACGCAGGATATCCCTGCGAAGACAAGTTGGGCGGGCATAGAGAGGGTTCCGGAGAGGATGAGAATGAGGGAGACGTTGGTGATGGTTGATGCGGTTGAGAAGAGGCTTGAGTTATCGCTTATAATGAGTTCAGGAGATGATATTGGGGTTTTTGGAGAAGTGAAATCCGAGACTGTGGTGTTTGGGTAGAAAAAGAGTCAATCACAACAGCGTATCGACATTTTCGTATTCGAGTGACGCGTTCGTATTCGCATCTGCAACCTCAAAGAATATGTAAGATCGACGAACGGGCCCCGAGATTCCCGCTTCCCATTTATTTTTTCCGATATTCATTCCAGATTGACCAATGGGAGAGTTGAGAGATAATCCTTCTGTCGTGGGGATGGAAATGGTTCGATGGCGGATCTGGAGTTTCCGATGTTGCCAAGACGCCACTGTAAACGGTGTAAGATGTTTGGGTGGAGGGAAGGAGTAAGGCTGTAGTGAATCAATTTGTGTACCTAAGCTACAGACTTGAGTTGATTGGAGTATTTAAGAGAGACGTACTCAGCTTCGTCTTACAAACTACAACAACTTCAACTTGTCGCTCTTCCACTTCGACTTCACTTCTTACGCAAATACAGACACAATGGACAGTCTCATCGAAAGCGCCAACGCAACAGCCAAAATTCCCCTCCATCCATTCTGGCCATTGAACGCAGCCCTTCCTCAATATGCCGCCAACACACTATCCTCCCGCGCCCTCGTAGCATCCTTCGTCGTCGGCGCAAGTGTCATTCTCGGAGTCACACTATCGCTGATCCAACAATCTCGTCGAAAGCTATCAAAGACGGAGATCTTCATGACACTCTGGTTCGCCCTCTGCGGATGCATCCATTTGTTCTTCGAGGGTACTTACTCCCCTTCTGATACCGAGTTGGTAGTGGCGCTAATGGATCAATCAGGTTACTTCGCCGTCAACTTCGCCGACATCTCCAGCAGACAGTTCCTCTTCGCCCAGCTCTGGAAAGAATACTCCCTCTCAGACTCTCGCTACCTTACCCAAGATTCCTTCCTCGTCCCCATGGAAGCCATAACCGCCTTCCTCTGGGGTCCTATGTCGTTCTTTTGCGCATGGAGTATCGTCAAGCAACATCCTCTGCGACACCCGATCCAGCTGATCATCAGTGTTGGACAAATCTACGGCGATCTGCTGTACTTTGGTACCTGCTACTTCAACGAGATTGTTCATCGCATTGTGTACTGTCGCCCGGAGCAGTTTTACTTTTACATGTATTATGTTTTCTGTAATGCGATCTGGATTGTTGTTCCGATGGTTTGTGTGGTTCATAGCGTTGTTCAAACAAAGAGGGCTTTTGCAGAGGTTCAGGAGGCTGAGAGGGTGAAGAAGGGGATGTAAATGGGGTGGCAATGGAGGAGATAGGTGACATGGGCTGCGGAGGATGAAGTAGCAGTACCAAAAGTCGTTCCTTTTCACCCCTCGTTGGGAAGCTAATGAGAAGTGCTTCGAGAAAGATTGATATTCTATAAAAGTGATGCAAGACTTGAATACAGAGTCATCTTTTTAGCTTCCGAATTCCTCATATGTGCTTTTTATCGGTAGGAAAGCCTTTGGTTGAGCTGTTTCTCTCAAACGTGCTAGTATCACACATATACAATGAATAAACTAAATGGGGCAACAAACAGTCCTTAATTATCTAATGGAAAGGCCTACGTACATGTATTACAACTCATCAATGCTCAGGAGTTCCCATCCAAACGGCCGTGTACAAGGAGGAGAGCGGTCCCATAAACACATTTGTCGGCAGATATTAGGTAGACATGACCGTACCACGAATCGTTATCATCCCTCATGCGAATGTCAGAGGCAGCTCTGGTAAGACACAGAGACTCAGAAGCAAAAGGATAGACTTTGCGAAGGATCAGAACAGAAAGAAAAAAGATCATGAGAGTGTTTCAAGCTCATTCTTGAGTATAACCACCCGTTGGCGGCACGAGGGAGTTAAAACTAAGGGCCTTAACCAATAGGTAGGCCAGATGAGTTGTGTAGAAGGACCGTAATGGAGCGTAAGCGAATATCCAGTGTCGATGCACATCCGCAAGAACGATTGCACAGTTGAGGAAACAAAGCCTTAAACAGGAGTGTTGCCCTTTTGAGCTTCACGAGCTTTGGCGAGCGAGTGAAAGACTTGTGGCTGTTTCAGCCTCCCGTCTCCTCTCTTCGCCAGATTGGCATCTTGGAAATAGTCGAGATCCTATAATTTCTTGTCAATTTCTTGCAGTCCGAAGGTGTTGAAGAGGCGTATAACTTACTATTAACCATTTCGGATCAACAGCTGTGACTGAAGACAGGTATTGATAGGCGTTGTAAGAAAAGCCACCATAGATGACCCATTCATGGCGACATCCGACCAGGCTGCTATCAGGATCGAGGCCAGCTGGCCAGTTGCCATGGACAGTCCTGTACCAGTCTCGGCCAGCTGGGTCACGGATGGCGGAACGGTAAAAGAACGAGCGAGCCAGTGCTTTGCGGATGTTGACATCGTAGTCGGGACTCAGGAAGTCCGAGACGGCAGGCTGTTTACCGAAAAGATATTGGAAGGATTCTTCCAATTGCTGTCGTAGCCTGACCGCCTCCTCCAAAACACCTCGGTTGATGAATGCGTCCGCACACCATTCGTCCACAGCCTTATCAGCGTCCTTACCCATAAGATCCTGGAACTGATTTTTGGTTCTGACGTACGAATGAAATGCATTCATGAGGGTCATCTGATCCGACACCGGACAAAAGAAGCGTTGGCGGGCCAAGTCCGCCGCATAACGAAAAGGCTGGGGGCGAAGAAACATCGACTGCTGGGTGCTCTCAAGTGCAGCAATTGTAATCATTTCGTCACCACATCCCAGGCTCGACGCCTCGGCGAAAGCGTTATACCAAGCCGGGTGGATTGGCAGCTTTGCGGCCAGTTTGCCTTTGATCGTAATTGAGCCTTCTTCATCCAAGAAACCCCTGATATCTGTCTCAGCAAAGTATCACAAGCCAGATGTTGGTACTTACATCCAAAGGAGATCTTCAAACGCACGGAAGATGGGTTCCGGATGGGGAGGGTCAATAAAGTCGAAGTTCGCGAGATCGTGAAAGCCTAGAGCTTTGAGTTTCAGTACCATTTCTGACAGGTTACTTTGGAGGATACTGGGCGGTGTTGAAGGAAGAAGGATCTCGTCAAAATGCTTCTTCGTGTACATCCGATAACAGAAGCCTGGCCTGGTACGGCCGGCGCGCCCAGCACGCTGCCGCGCTGACGCTTTGGATATAGGCGTCGTTCTAAGGGTATCACATCCAAGTCGAGGGTGAGATCCGGGCTCCTTTACCAGGCCAGTATCTAGCAGTGTTGTTAGTGACCAGAAGCGAACAAAGATCCGGCCTTGTCCACTGAAGGTAGCAGACGAACGGAAGTGGATGACTTACCAATCACGTAAACAACACCATCGATTGTGATGCTCGCCTCTGCGATTTTTGTCGCAAGTATACATCGTCTCTTGTCCGATCACTTGAACACTCTGTCTTGTTCGTGTTGGGGTAAGAGAGAATACAGTGGCAGTACATCTAGATTAGACGTAGCTTTGCGCAGCTTGGCGCTGGCCTCCTCGCAGTCATCTGCTGTCGGAAGAAAAACGAGGATATCACCTTTGTTATCTTGCTCGTGGGTATGTTTGGCAGTGTGAAGGGCAAGGGATAGGTAGTCCTGGGTTGGATTTTCGATGTATCCAACCTCGATCGGAAAGATGCGACCGCTCACAGTAAACCGCTTAGCGCCAACAAAGTATTGCACAAACTTGTCAACTTCGAGGGTGGCAGACATGACGATGACCTTGAGGTCATCGCGGACAAGTAGAGCCTTCTTCAAGAGCGCCATCAAGATGTCTGTGTTGAGGGTGCGCTCGTGTGCTTCGTCGAGGATGACACAAGCCTAGTGAGCATGGGTTAGTGAGTGCACCAAGACGGAACGTCGGGGACTAACGTAGTCTGAGAACATGGGATCTGTTTTTGCCTGATGGAGGAGGATCCCATCTGTGGCGTAGCAGAGACGATTTTCCTTCGAGGTGCGTTTGTCGAAACGGATGGAATATCCAACCTCTTCGCCTAGCTTAACGTCCATCTCTTGCGCAACTCGCTGAGCTGCAGATCTTGCAGCCAGCCGTCTTGGCTGCGTACAGATAATTTTCTTATTGCTGGCGTATTCATCCCAAAAGACAAACTGGGGAATTTGTGTGGTTTTTCCCGCGCCAGTTTCGCTGGAAAGGACGATAACCTTGCAAACGTTAGGATGCAGATAAGAGAATAAGAATGAAAATCACCTTGTTACTATGGTAAGCACTAAGAAATTTCCGCCGCATGAAAGAGACTGGAAGCTTGCGGCGGGCTTCAAGTAGTTCGAAATACCGTGCCGAACGTTGCTTGTCTTTGCGCAGAGGATGGTCCTTGGCGTCCTCAAGCTTTGTAGCCTCATAGGCTGTTGTTTTGTTCCGTTTCAAAAGATCCATGATTCTTTCGAGTGACTGATGAGTCGACTCTAGTGGTCTCTAGAGTCGAGCTTGTGAGCTGATGCGGATAAGACAGGACAAAGATGGGCAAAGATGGTTTACGCGATGTTGTTCTCCGAGGGGGGAGAAGATGGGAGATTCCTGTGAATAAGCTTGCTTTCACTACCTCAGGTTTTGTTTATTGTAGGTTTCTGCCTCCATTATCCACCTACATTGGTAGGTGCCCTGCTGATTCATGATGGCTGGACCTCTGGCAACGAGCGGTGTCAGGCAGTGACAAGCGCCGAGACAGGGAAATAGAAGCTGACCTCCGATCTTTTACACAAAGCTTTCAGGCTGTAAGAAACACTCGTCCTCGAGTAACGAGGATTGGGCTTTACGATCGAGAACACGACAGTGTAGCGATGGGACAATAGGATGTTCCTGGGGAAGCATGCATATGATGCTAGGGATTGAGAGTCGGAAGGGAAGAAAGATTGATATATACAATATGGACTTAAAAGGCACAGTAAAGACTGACTATCATGATTTAGACCTGGGTCTTTTGAAGTGATATGCCAGCTTAATTATTATCGACTGGACGAAGTTGCCAGACAAAAGAATTGATGAAGATACATCGACCCCTGAGCGAATATCTGGCCACAGAGTTAACAAATACCAAATACTACATCTACACACAGTAGTCTGCAGACTGTACATAGAACAGGAAACCTCTGCAAACACGCGAAAATAGCACGGTTGGTCGTCTGCCAATGTCTAACATTTACTCATTTTATTCCTTTGTCACCTTAAACACCAAACATTTCTACGTGTACATGAACAATCACATAGCCCTCTTTGCCATTCTCTTCCAGTGTATCCATTTCTGCGATCCAAAAGACTCACAAACTCTCTGCAACTTGTTAGCAAGCGTAATTCACGAAGCTTAACAAGCATCAAACTCACCTCTCTATTATCCCTAAAATCAGTATAGAACCCATTCCAGATCTCCCTCTCCGCACAAGTCGTCTCATTCGTAGCACAATCCGGCTGATTCTGCAATCTCACCTCAGGGTCATTAATCCATGGCTTGGGAACAGGCCAGTCCGAAAAATGCACAAACTTGGCTTCGTTTAGTGCAGCGTTAGGATCCCACTGTGCCCTCTCACTACCGAGATATGCTGAATGGTCTTTGGCTCTGAACTCCGCGGTGAGCATGTCGTACTTCCTGTGAGGCAGGATAAGAGCGCTGTCGAGGTATAAACTGTTGACGATCTCCATGTCGTAGTCGTTTGGTCCAATGCTGTTCATCTTCTGGACAATGCGCTCGAATTCAACCTCGTCGGGTTGTATCAGCATGAGTTGGGAGGAGAGGATCTTCTTGGGTGGGTTGTCGTTGTAGAGCCAGTATGCGCGGGGCATGGCGACGGGACAAGGGGGGAGTTCGAAGAGTTCGTCCATGTGTTGGAGGACCGTGCTGTCTGAGTCGAGGGAGAGGACCCGTTCGTATTGGGTTTGGTTGAAGGCGAGGAGCTTAGTGAAGGAATCGGCCCAGGTTTCTAAGAAGAGTCAGAGAATATCGTGAAGTTGTAAATTGTGATGAACGTACCGTCCTGTCCATCGCGGTGTTGAATCTCAATGGGCTGAAGAGTGACGTTATACTCATCTCTTGCCCTGATGAGAAGCTTTCCACCATGCGAGCTTGCGTGCTCGGCCTCTGGGTCAAGCATCTCCTGCGGATACATCAACAGCCTGTCCGCCTTGCTTCCCAACCGATGCAGCGCCTCAAATATCATGACCGAGTTGCACAGATAATCCTCATTCGTCACGTACTGAATGTAAGCAAATCTAGACCAGTCGCCTCCATCATCATCATCATCATCATCAACAGTCTCATTCTCATGCTTCTCACCACTCATCTCCTGAAGATCCTCCTCATCCCAATCCCCATCGTCCTCGATGTTAACAAATGGAAGAAACTCATCATCATCAGCAAAGTCTCCAATCTCTCCCTTATTCTCGAGATCTTCGATATGCGCTGCTGAGGTCTGACGAGGTGTTGGAACGACAGTCGTCTCGAATGTCGGGATGTAGTCTTCGTCTTCATCAACAAAATCCAAGGCGTGATTCTTCCATCTCCCAGGATCGGGTGCAACTGCGTTGGAAAAGAGGGAGAGTTTGATGAGGGAGTAGAAGCATATCGTGATGATAGTAACGGGTGGTAAGATCCTGCAGAATCGCGACATGAGCGTTGATGCTACACCCATCTTGTATACCCAACTCTGCGACGAGAATTAGATAAAAGGAAATCTTCTTGCGGCTGCGAGAGAAAAGAACAATTGAGGTCAAGGCATTTTGACGTCGCGAACAGGAAATAGGGACTCGAAGCAAGGGAGGCCAAAGCCATGTATTAAGGGATTAGGTTTGATGAACACAACCCTTTGCAAGGCTGATGTGAAACCATGTCTCATAGTCAACTAATCAACATCCTTTCTGTCGATCAATGGTATCTAGAGACATGAAATATTTAGTTGATGTGGTTTGTCGTATTGGACACCATGCCAGATAACTGTATGTCTCAAAACGCCAAAAGAAACGAAAGAAAGGGAGACGCCCCAGAAAAGGGACTCGATAGCGCCATTCTTCATTCCAAATAAAAGGGGTCTAGATTCACACTTCTCAGGGAGGCAAGAAAATTGAAGACATTAAAAAATAACACTAAAATAACCTTAGTAAAGACTCCTCTAAGCTTAGGCTAGGTTTGCCTAAATATCTTCGTCGCTTTAGGATCAAAGTCCTAAGGTTTTTGCCTCATCCAGACACTCTCCCAGAAAAGCGACCAAAATTATGTCGAATCAAGTTTAGGTGCGTGCATTTTGCTTGACCTTTCTTAGGGCAAAAGCATGATGCACCAGAAATCCCTCACTACAACATTTGAACTAAGTCGTAGAAACGTAATTTTGAACCGATGATTGAGCTAACTACCACACATATCAGGTGCATGATATCTGTGGGTTTCGTTGAAGAATCAATGACTGCCAATGCTTAGTTCCAGACCAGCACGAGATGAGACATTTCCTGGGATGGGTCAAAAGCGCTCAATTAATCACTGGCATCTGCAGTAGATCTTTCTCATATGATATAATGTATCTTAATCTCCTTCCTTCTTCAATGGCAAATCGTCATCTTCTACAGTTTCATCTTAGTTCTCAAGATAACCTCCCTCCTGGCCTCGCACCCGGAAAACTCGCCCTCACAAGATAGAGCCGTTGACTTCATCGTGGACTTCTCCGACCAACCATCAATCGGGCTGAGGTACATACGACTCCTTCCATATACCATAGCTACAAACCCATTCTCAATTCCACGGTGCGGGCGCTTATTTCGTGTGGGAAGGATCGGGAAGGATTGACAGGCCGACTATTTAGTAAGGATGCATGCTGGAAGTGGGTGGAGATTGATGATTCAGCGTTGAAGAAACGGCCGGGCAGAATTGTTTAGAGTGCGTTGAGTTCAAAGTCAACGTTGAAGTTGATGGCCGAACATGATTCAATGTTGAGGAGGAAGGATGTGAATAATGGGCAAATTACACTCTCTTTGTACACTTACACTGTGGTCTCTCCCAATGCTATCTCACCTTCTTCGCCGTGTTCTCAATTTCCATGTCTAGCTTCGATTCTCGTAGTCTGCTCGGGAATCAGTTAGACCAGAACCTGTACTTAATGACCCAACCTCGACATCACTGGATGAGAAGATGTAGTGACACTTGACCTATGAATCTAAACGAGGTGATGAAACTCGGCTTATGACCTCTATCATCAGTGATGAAAAGCTTTGGGTTAATTTGGTATGGATTTGGTGAGCATTTGAGTTAGTTGTCTGATGCCCTGAGAAGTCTTGTTATTCTCTGAGTTGAACTTGTATGAGAATGTCCTCGCTTATGTTCCTACCTTGACTCTTAGCTTCCTTGACCGTGTTCTTTTGGCTCCCTAAAACTTGGTTGAATTAGCTCCTGTTTCATTTTATTACAGTCAATTCTATACTATTCTCATTTTTAGAGAGGTGATCGAGTTTCTGAGTAAGAGAATAAAACAAAACTGAGGGCCTCTACCCTAGGGAATGAAAAGCCTTCAGTTAACTTAGGTAAACTTAGTATAATTTAGTGTAGATTTAGAGGATCTTAGATTAATTATTTTTGGCACCTAACTTCACCGTTAGAAGTCTTCTTACACCCCGGGTGAGTAAACTCTTATATCTCTTCTGACAAACTCTTTCGCCTTTGTCAGTGGAGTGGTTAGATCGTCTACTTGACTCCCTCCCGTCAGTCCAATATCAGTTCCATGGTTCGGAAACAGCAGAAGGCTAGCTGTATCTCAAGGTTACGCGCTTCTTTAGAGAACTTCCCTTATCTGGAGCCAGAAGAGTCGTCTCCAAGGACCCGGCTACACTCGAAAGCTACAACTCGATCACCATCCACACCAACCATAGCAACATGGCCAAATTCGGCCTTGCGGACGTCAACAATTTCCGTGCATCACTGTTGGGGTGGGGTTGGTCGGGGGTTCAGGGGTTTGGTCGAACCAACAAGCGAATCATGGTGGTTGTCTAAGCGCTTTGGTGAGCCGTGCGACCTACACTGCATCTCTGAAACGGTTTGCTACAAATGTGTCAAACAACCTTGTGGCAGCTCTGATGTCGCGATGGTGCCGTTATCTTACCGTTCTACGCTTCAGTATTTGTCGATAATGAATTGGCGACTTTCATACCAGCCTCCATAACCCAGCAAACGAGAAATGGCATCACGAAACGACTACATTGTCGGTTGGGTCTGCGCCCTACCCTTGGTGGCAACTGCTGCCGAGGCGATGCTAGACTCCGTTCATCCCGATGGGCCCTTGGACCTGGATATAACTGACGATATCAAGTTTGTCTTTGGTAGACTCAATGGCTACGACATCGTGCTCGCATATCCGTCCCCCACGAATCAAGGAAATGGCTCAGCTGTGGAAATCGTTGAGCAGGTCCGTTTAGCTTTCAGGTCCATCCGGTTCATTCTCCTGATTGGATTAGGAGGAGGCGTTCCGCACACGAAGGAGAACATTTCCCCTGGGGATGTAGTTGTCGGAAGACCAGAGCCAGGTCGCTCTGGCCTGGTGCTGTACGAGGGAGGCCAGGTTCACTGGAATAGTGACGATGCGGGCAATGTCCGCTCCAGAGACTCGTCTGACAAGCCATCCTCCAGCCTTCTGACCGCGACGCGGAAAGTGGAAATGAACTCGATTCTTGGCAACAGTCATATGCGGACTTACATGAGCACCATCATTGATAAACAGCCCACGATATTCGCCCCGCCCGAGCTGGAGAAAGGCAGTACAGCCGGTGCAAATGACGGAGATAGGGACGTAAAGAGCTCGGGTGACAGAGGTGAAGGGAACGGACGCCATACTCATTCCTGGCAAGCGAGCACAGACCGGTTGCCCAAGGTCCATTACGGGCTTGTTGCAAGCTGTCAGCACCAATTGAGAGACTCCAAGACTCGTGATAGCCTGGCAGCAGACCACGGCATTCTCTGCTTCGAAACCGAAGCCTTTGGTTTACCCGACAACGGCCGTATCCAAGTCATCAGAGGGATATGCGGTTATTCCGATTCGTCCTTTAATGACGGGGAATGGAAAGGCTATGCCGCCGCTGCAGCGGCTGCGTACGCAAGAGAGCTCCTGATGTCAATGCCCACCGTCGCAAAGCCCGTAGCGCGGGAGATCGAAACCCGAGCAGCAGCATCCACCGTGCTTGATGCTCTACTATTGACCAGGCCAGAGGTGGACCGCAGCTCGTTGATCGCCCTGAAAGGACGCAGAGCTGATGGCACATGCGAGTGGCTCACACGACACGCAAACTACCAACGATGGGCCGCCGGTGACAGTCCCCCTCTGCTCTGGGTCTCGGGTGGTCCTGGAAAAGGGAAGACAATGCTGGCTATCTATGTAACCGAGCTGCTGCAACCAGAACAAGATTCGACAAAGGGAGTCCTTCTCTATTATTTCTGCAGTAACCGTGACAAGAACCGGAACTCAGCTGTTACTATCATGAGAGGAATTATACACCAATGGATCACCGCCGAGCCTCATCTGGCGCAGCACGTCAAGAGCTATTTCGACGGCTCTGAAACCATTAAATACACAATATCCAATTTTGTGACCCTATGGAGGGTCTTTCTCTCTCTGCTTCGCGAGACCACATCAAGCACCATTACCTGTGTGCTGGATGGCCTAGACGAATGTGAAAAGGGGTCGCTCCAACAGCTCCTGGATGCTCTGAGGAAATATCTATCTCAAAATGCAAGAGATAAAGAGTCGAAACTAAGACTGATTCTTCTCTCGCGCTCCCAGCCAGTACTACTGGAAAGCAAGCTTGGTCAGTTTTCCCGGGTCAGGTTGGACGAATCAGACATGGAGGTAGCCAAGGATGTCGAGAGATACATCGCATCCAAGGTTTCGGAGCTGGCCTTAGATCAAACCCTAACAGAGGACCAACTATCACAAGTGCGGCAGGCCTTGGTGGATGGCGCCGATGGCACCTTTCTCTGGGTCGGTTTCGTCGCGGACGAGCTCCAGGGGCGAAGTTGGCAAAAGATCCAGGATATACTCCACCGAATGCCTAAAGGCTTGGGCGGCGTTTACCAGCGACTACTACTGCAGGTTGAGGACAAGGAACGGCTGATTCCCATCCTGCAGTGGCTTGTGCTTGCTGCAAGACCCCTGGCCATCGATGAGCTCTGTATAGCAGCCAAGATTGCTCCATCTGTCGACCGTAACGCGGTCGAGGCTACACGGGATAGGCTCAACTCCTGCGGGCTTCTGGTCAAAGTCGACGGGGACGTAGCCAACCTCGTGCACGAGTCTGCCAAAGAGTTTTTCCAGAGCGATCAGGTTGATGAGCTGGAAGAGATCAGAATGTTTCGGATGGGTCCAGCTACCCACCGTGCGCTTATGGACGCTTGTCTGTCACTGATCGAGAACAGTCATGCTTCCCCAGGTGGCATCAGCGAGCAATCCCTCACCAAACCCCTCTTGGCCTACGCATGTCTTTACTGGCCCTATCACTTACAGCGCGCACAAGAACTGGTCGGTGACCGGTCTATGTTCACTCGTTCATTCTTCAAGCCCGAGACTCCGATCAGGGAAGACTGGTGGAAGTTCTACTGGGACAAGGAGCAGTATGGTGGAGCACCGCCCTCTTTTTCACTACTGCATCTCTCCTCATACCTGGATATTCCGGCTTGGACCAGGGTGTTGCTGGAACAAGACGCCGCGAAGCATAGCTCCCGCCACAGACTCGTTGCACGGAAAGATAACTACGGTCGGACTCCACTGTTCTGGGCCGCGACCCGGGGTCACAAAGATATCGTCGAGCTATTACTCAAGCATGGAGCCCCCGTAGGCTCCAAGGACCGGAGTAATATGACACCGCTACATATAGCGGTCACGGGAGGACACAAGGAGGTTGTGGCTCTTCTCCTTGAACATTCCGCCCCGATCGAAGCCAAGGCGAGCTATGGCGACACACCACTGATACGAGCCATCCAGGCCAACTCCAAAGAAATCGTCCAGCTCCTTCTGGAACATGGAGCGAGCATTGCTGAGCTGCCTATCGTCGGCACTAACCAGCGAAACCAGCAATCGATGACCATAGAAGAGAGGGCAGAACAGCTACTCGGGTTACAAGAACAACTCTTCGCGGCCAGATACGAGGAATCTTCGCGCCTCGTCGGGCTCACAATCAAGACACTCACCCTATCATTCCAATTTCAGCCCATCGCCAAACTTTTCAAGTTCTATCTCGAGCACTCCTCCATCGGCCGCTGGGAAGTGATGCACGTGCTCCAGGATCTAGTCAGAAACAACAAAATTGCGAGGCTGCGGAACTGGGCTCAAGCCTATATCGACTTTGGCATCCAACTGGTCCAGGCAGAGGACGCAAAGAACCTCGCCATCATGACGGATCTTTCGGTTCAGGTATTCCGTGTCGTCTCCACAGGTGACCTCGAGGCTCTATTGGTGATCGGCGTCCTCGTCGGCTCGAGCGTAATACTCGCCGCAGCCGAAAAGGGATGGTGGCCGGGCGTCGACATCTCGGCACGCACGTTCGCCCAGTTTGCTGCTCTAGCGTACCACAGAGACCGGGGTGAGTTCCTGCACTACGGCGTCCGGGAATTCCTCGTCGAGTTCGACGGCTGCATCCGTGGTGGAAGAAGGTCTGAGAGCGCGGCTCGGACTGTCGTTCTCTTCAGCACGCACTTCGCCATCATCGACACCAAGGAGACTCGTCCAATTGATTACTTTGCGACGATCATCGCAGAGTACTATGAAGGCTACGTCGGTACCGCTGACGAGGAGCGGCTCTTTAGTGACGCAACTCAAGCGTGCGCTGATGAGCTTGAGATCATTAGCAAAACACGCGATTCTCACAAACTACTGCTATTCGCCACCGCAATCCTGCAGTTTATCGAGCGCTGTTCCAAGGACATAGCCAAGGACCACTTCTTAAGCATGATACCAGCGTCATGCATGATACTCTGTCAACGAGACCATAAGCTTCATGCATGGCTTGTTGCCAAAGCAATACCGGAGACTATGAGTGTTTCAATATCGCAGCTGCCGGAGATGGCTCAAAGGCGTGCGTTCAAGGCTCTTGTTGAGTGCATTATCATTGGCAAGCAATACGGGCTGTCAGATCCCGTGGATCTACAACAGAGGCTCAGGCAAACTCCTAACATCAGTCACTATGTCAGTGAAACGCTGGAGGAAATTTTGTTTTGAACTGGTCTCACAAATTGGGGCGACACTGCAAGGTCCTAAAACAGAAGGATTTAGTTGCTGGTTGATACTTGCGCCATTGGGATCTAATTTAGCTTTTTAATTAAATTATTTGCATAGCTAGCCATGGTCTATACCAAAGCTGCACAACTTTCTATTGAAAGTAAGGGAGCCTTTCCTTGCCTCTAGGGATTCCTCTGGACGTTATTGCATAGCGCCAAAGTAGTACTCGCTGTGAGTCGCGATCTATACGCGTCAAAACATCTCTTAGCCTCTGAGTCGCTTCCAGAAGCTTGACATCCGAGATCGAGGTTGCTCGATTCTTGACTCTGCCGTGGTATTGTTAGGAGTGTCCGACGAAGCAGACGTGTTCTGAGCCGGTGGGTTGGGCCTTGTTGGCTGCGGCGAATCTTTGGGCTGTGGAAGCGGATTCTTAGAAGCGGCATTGTGCAACATCAACCTGATTTGGTTGTCTTTCTCGAGGTCTTGAACTGGCTTGCTGTACCCGTACCGCCGAAGTTGTCGCAATATCTCAGAATCATGGACAAAGAGTTCCCACATCAGGCGCCCTACTGGCAGGATATTCGGATCCGCACCCTTGCTTAACAGCAATTCTACGATTCGGAGGTGGCCTTTACTCGCAGCATAATACAGTGCAGTTCTTTGCCCAGTGTCGGTGCCATCAATATCGTGATCCTGGTCCAAGAGGAGTTCAACCAGGTCTATATTATTCTCCCGTGCTGCTATTCGTAGTCCAGTGACTGGCCTGCAACATCGAGACTTGGAGTATGCCAAATTGCTAATTTTCGCATAAGAATGACTCTCGAGCTCAATATCGAGCCAGTCTTCTGCTGTGCGGCCGAGCTCGTCTCGTTTGATGAGGAGCTGGTCCCCAGAGGGTTGGCGAAGGAGTTCTCTGATCGTTTCTGGATGCCTCCCAAGAACCGCAAGATGCAATAGAGACCAGCCGTGGTTGTCCTGCAAAAGAATGAGTCGTTCTTCCTGTTCACTTGAAAAGCCGCGGACAATAGTGTACCGAATGTACTCTATAGCAACGTGACTCCCGAGGTAGGCGGCATGGTGCATTACTGTCCAGCCATGACACGTTTCGCTAAACAGGTCTACCCCACTTTCGAGAAGCAGCTGGGTTCGTCTTGGACCAACGCCTGCAGCACAGTGCAATGGTGAAGTTCCATATAAGCTCACCGCATTCGGATCAGCCCCTGAACTAACGATCCATTGTATGTTATAGCATGCTGAATCGTCTGTGGGATCGATATCTCGGCCCTTTGTATGCGATACTGGTCCCTCAGCGGCCCAGTGTAAGGCGGACCACCCGTCTTTATCTCGCTCATTGAGAGAGACACCTTCTGAAATGAGGAGGCTGACTACATCCAGCATTCCCTGGGCAGCCGCCTGGTTCATCAGGACAGCCTCGGAGACTTTCGGTAGTGGTGGCCTTGACTTGATGAAATGCATAGCCAGGTCATGCAGGCCAAGACTGATTGCCCATCCCACAGCAGACGTACCCCGTAAATCGTTGTACTTGTCCGCCGGATCAACCCCAAGTGATTCCAACTTGTCGATTGCGTCTAAGTTTCCGCTAACAACAGCCCATAGTAGTGGTGTAAAGTCATAATCGTCGCGCATATCGATTGTGGCTCCAGCTTGAATCAGCAAGCCAATGCCTTCCACAAAGCCTCCTCTTGCCGCGTAGTGCAGTGGCGTCAGACCGTTTTCGTCTGTGGCACAAATTACCTCGTGGTCAGAAGATTCTAGTAAAAGCCTCATTATATCTTTCTTCCGGTAAAGAGCAGTATAATGAAGAGGCTTCTTGCCACGAGACCTATCGCTTCTCGTGACGAGGTGCATCAAAGCCCGAACTCGCTCCACATCGTCGCATTGAATCGCTTGGCGAAGTGCATCGAGATCCGTTGGCGGCTCGATGTCTTCAATATCAAGGTTTTTGATCGAAGAAGTAATACTTTCCTTGGGGTCGCCAGCCTGGTTATCTCCTGCAGTATCTGAAAAGTTCAATGCATCATCGTCCATGATACTGCACATCGACCCACGTAACTTTGCATTGCCATCATCTCCAATTGATATCTCACTGTCGAAGTCGCTGGCCTCTGTCCCGCCGTCATGAGGGAGCTTTTGAAGCGCAAGCAGGGCGAGCTCCTTCATGTGTGCGGCAACGTGAGAATGAAGATTTTCATAGGAGAAAATTCCGTAGCGGTCGGCCTCTTCAGATGGGACAAAGTCATCCCCAAAAGGACACTCCTGTATTTTATCCTGGAATGGCCTCCGTGCTGCTTCACTCAAAGTCCGAACGTGAGCTTCGGGAACCCCGTGCTCATCGTAAGAGTGCTTCTGGAATTGGATCTCATCTCTGAAGATCTTTGGGTTGTGAGAAGGAGCTCTGCATTCCCATGCGATTCCGTGCGAGTTCTGCATATGGCTCATCCACGCTTTGGACGATTCGAAAGTCAATGGACCATGGCCCTGCCGACATGAATCCGTACATGCTGTGAAGAGACAAATGAATGGCTCTAGATCCCTAATAACATGGGTCCTGTTGGCAGTTAGTCTTCGCACCACAATAGAAGAGGGGCGGATTTGCGCACCTCCAGATATTAGACTTGCTTGGGCCCTTGAATTCAATGATCACGCCGCAATAAGGACATTCATTCTGTTGCGGAATGGGTGGGAAAGATAGCTCGTTGTTCACCAACACGGACTTTGCTCGGGGGACCTCCGTTGTGGACTTTGCATACAGCGCTCCAATCTCAGTCTGCCGAGCGGTAGTAGCGTAAGTTAACGGAGCGGGTGGATAGTCCTGCCGACCACGTTCCTCGTTTCTGACTTTCGTCTTTGGGGTTACCTCTGGAGCGAAACGCACAGTTCTTGGCTTTTCCGGAATCTTGGGCAACGGCAGTTTTATTTGACCTGGCTGCGGTTTCTCAATGCTTAACGCAATACGTCTCCGATGTAGCCTCTGATACGACAGCCGCCGAAGTCGCAGTACATTTGCTTCTATTAGGGCGCACCGAAGCGACTCTGGGGCCTCGGGGAATCTGAAACGAATATAACAATCGGTGTACAAGCGCAGCTCATCAATGGCACGTTGTGTGTCATCATCCAGCTGATAGTCTTTTAACTTTTGTGCTCTCGAGGCCTTCGCGGACTTTCGAATCGCATTGGACAATCGAAATAGTCGTGTCACGGTGCCACTGATAGTGTACGTGAGGAGGGAAGTGTTTTTGTCGGCTTGATCTTCGTCACTGTCTGTGTCGCTGGCGTTGTCATCACTCGCGCCCATGCGCACTTGGTCTGAAATAGATATGCGCTGCTTCTTTCTGCTCGGGGTCGGTGGCGGCTCGTCGATCGGTTTTACTGTAACAAAAATTGCCGTTAAAACCCATCATTTGAGTACATATGAGTAGTTTTGGGTTTACTCACACTCCGTAAGAGCATTATAGATCACGTCTAGAAGCTGGTGAAGAATATCGACAATATTCGGACTATATCTGAGCCTGAAGTCCAATGAGATGTTTGGCGGCCCAAAGACGTCCATGTTGGAAGCCCATAACGTGAACCTCGCTAACTGGTCATCCATTATCGTTGGATCTGGGACAATGTTGGGCAAAGCCATATTCTTTTGGAAAAGCTCGGTGCATTTTAGGGCATGCTCGGCGATCGTAGGTCCGGAGATGTCCTGAAGAAAGACGTCCTCTGGCTTATCCAGATCCATAGAGGCAGATTGTGCCATTATGGTCAACTGGACAGACAACGAGGGCTTGCTGGAGGCTCACGATTTCGGGCTAAGGAGTAGGTCTTGCGTGGCTTACGACGGTCAAAGATTCCAGACCTCTTTCTGCCTTTGAGGCCTAATAGGAGGAGTTGCTGTATGTTCATCCAGCACAAAGAGCCAGCTGCATCGGTCGTGTTCATTGAGCGGCAACAACCAACAGCTTACAACATCCAGGTCGCGCTGTCATTGGTTGATTCCAGCGGGACGAACCCTTGTTAGGCGCTCAACGGGAGGAGCGGGGCAACAGATAGTGTGAGATTTGGCACCGTCGCTAGCAGAAGACCCTGCTTCCAAGCGCGCGCTAATTAATCCCATCTTCATCACAGAGGTTGAGGTTGAGTTACAACCTTCCAAGGCTTATATATATATATAATAGTTTCCTTCGCTGTTGTTTAATAAGGTAGCTAAATATAGCGAAACAATCCCGAGGCTTCCATTGAAATACGCGAGTTTTCTCCCGAAGCTCAAAAACATAGCAAAGAAGTGAAATCAACTACGATCGGGCTCACAATTTTCATTGAAGCTATGGCGACTTTCACAAAGACTTACTTTCTCTGTCCCACCACTGAGTTTATTCAGGCGTCTCCTGCTGGTCCGTTACGGCTAGGCTCCATACTCCGGTCCACAGCGACGCCCCAGTATCCTCTCAATGGCACGCACATTGTTCCTCTTGCACAGGACCCTTCTTCTGTCGTAGAGACTGCTTGGAAGAAAACAGTCTCGGCCGAAACTGGGCTGGGACTCGGCGTCTATGCACAATTCCTACAACTCGGTCTTGGTCCTGAAGCCAGTGCCGATCATTCCAGCCAAGCATCGAGCGTCTTTGCATTTGATTCCATGACAACGTTGTCATTCGACCCAGAGCCAGAGTATGTCAAGGAAGCAGTCAAAGCGCCTGCTGTGCAGGCCTACTTGAGAGAGCCGAAGCAGCGCTTCGCCCCCATCGTCTCACTCTACCTCGTGACAGGCTTGAAGCTCGTCAAAGGCGCAAACATCAAGTACTCGACGTCGAGCAGCACTGACGTCAAAGCAAATATCGGCATCAATGTGGCCCCTCTCGGCCTGACCATTGGCCCGAAAGGCCACTGGACGAAGAAGAGTGATGACGAAACCGAGTTCAGCAGGGAGTCTGAATTCGTTTTCGCGTTTCGCGTGAAGCGGCTCAGGTTCGGACTGGGAAGAAAGCTGGAGGCAGAAGGTTATACAAAAGGTGCATTCTTGACGACTGGGGAGGCAGATGACAACGAGCAAGAAGCTTGTTTGATGGACGACGTGGATGGCTCCTCTTCCGCAAATGCTAGTTTTGTAAGTGATGCCACTGAGGGCGAGAGCGTGTACTGCATTCCTGCATGATACAGACTGTCTGACTGGATATCTTGACGGATGCATCACAGCAGGCTTTTTCTTTGTTCACATATTATTGAGGTCTCTATTCGAGGAACCATTTTCCTTCTTGATATTTATAGTCACATGCGGTCTCTGATGTACTTGATTCTGAAATAGATCTCCTCCTTTGATGATCCCATGTTGGATAGAAAGTCTGGTAGGATGTAGTCGTAATCATCGCGTCCCCTGCCTTGCGTTGTGCTCTTAAGCACAGCCTTCATGGTGTCAAAATCCTTCAGCGACTTGCCTAGTCGGTTGGTATCAGTCGGCGAATCCTGCTCTTGCTGCCTCACAAAAGAGAGGAGCGAAGCGGCGATCCCAGCAGCGATAGGCGTTGCCACCGACGTCCCGGACATGACACGCATGCCTTGGTACTGGGCATTCATACTGACCGGCCAGTACGACTCAACATCCTCCCCAAGCAGACATAAATTAACATCATCTTCTTCAGCCATCGGATTGAAGCCGGAAGGGGCCCCCAGTCCATTGGATGAATGTATGCAAAAGACCCTACTATCTTTGGCTGGGAAAGCTCGACCGTGATTTAGCCCGTCATTTGACGCCGCTGCGAACATAAGTGTGTTCTTCTCCCGTGCATAACCTATCGCATTTCTCATTTCCTCATCAAATTCTCGGATTCCGAACGACATGGAGATAACATCCACGTTCCACACAGATACGGCGTGGTTAATAGCCTTGCATAGAGTTAGCCAGAGGGCCAAAGAAAAGTGTAAATCCTCAAACTCGATCCATGCCACATGATGTGCACAATGCTGTTGCCAAGACGTACCTTTGAGATGGCGCTATAGCTATCGCGACCTAGCGTTGCTTGGTTTGCGATTCTGGCTATATAAATCTCAGCACACGTGGCAACCTTAAGGAGGAGACCAAGGGCATGAGCGCCATGTCCGATTTCATCCTGGTGCTCTTCCTCATTCTGTCCGGCAACAAAGTTCCGGAATCCCTTTAACCGCGGATCAAACTTTCCTTCGCCCGTCTTAAAGAGCGGATGCTCAGTGTCAAAACCAGAGTCCAATATTGCTATGCGTACCGGGCCATCGACGCCAAACGCAGCGAGTTGTGTCCTTCCAGACGGCATAACCTTCTCATAGTCATCAATATACTGATAGATAGACGTCGTAATTTTACTCATCCAACGATCTGATAATGGTTTCCTTCAAGATTTATCAGTTTGCACAACACGAAAAGGCTTCGGAAGACGACTTACCCTTGCTCAGAGGCCATCTGATGGTTTGCATCAAAGAATTGTAAGCTTTGAGAAGCTTCTATAGGTATGTAGTAGCGAGGCAAGCCGGGAGTCGGCACTGTGCTGTACCTTCTAGCTGTCGTTTGCAGATCTGGAGACGGTAAGATCACGGAGGGTTCTGAAGCAGCTCTGGTAACTGACTCGCGCCTAGCCGTATGTTGTCGGATGACCTCGCAGCCATTTCTGCCCCAACAACGCTTGTTTTCTTGAGCACTTAAGCTCTGCAAATTTTCTAAACCTTTCAGCCATGTGTTGAGAATCTCGGATTCGAGTCTCTTCACGACGTTCTGGTAGAACAACTTCTGGACGCTGGCGGATTCAAATGTTGTATACTCTCCAGCGGGTAGGTATTCCCATTGAAGGCATGCTTTTGTGGCAAGGTAGTAGTCCATCCCAGCATCGACTTCGAGGTCTTTAAGGACTTCTAAACTGGTATAGTAGGCGCTGTTGACAGTCTGACTAGCGTCTGGGTCGTCTTGCCAAGCTTCTATAGGTTTGCAATAATGAAGCTCGCACAACAAGATACCAAGCGCGAGCACGCTAGCGTTAGGATGAACCATATGCTTAGCAGTCTCCATCTCGGCTTCATGTTCCCTCGCCACTTCTCTATTTGGCATGGCAACAGGGACTCGTTTCATATCCAGAAAAGGTTTTGTAATGTCTGGCAGGCTGTCTTCCTCCAGTGGCTGGAAGAACTGAATGTTGGAATGGTTAAAGGTCGGTTGCACCCAGGGTGTTTCAAGGAAGGGAAGCAGCGCCGTTGCAAGGACAACAGCAAGTATTCGTTTTCCCCTGTGTGGCAAAACCGAGGTCCCTCCGGTCAGCTCCTGTTGGCGTTTGAATAGAGCAGATAGTGACACCATCTGCGGATGGTGAGGATCCCCAAAGACCTTTGGCTGTGGACGAAGCCTCTTGAACATTCCATTCTCAAACTTGAGATGCAAGCAAGTTTGTTGATCTATCGACTCTGTGATAGTTTGACAGATATGCACAAAATCAGACAACTCACTAGACGTGATCTCTGATTTGTGCCCATGCATGTCGGCTGCCTCGTCCCTACACAAATCGCATTGGTCAATCGTTCATCTTCGCGAAAAGGGCACTTACTTGATCGTGATCTTTGCTTCCTGCAGTGAGACCTGTAGCAGTGATTTCACGCCAAAAAAGACTTCGAATGATGTCTCCAATGGCGAGCTTTTACTTGGCGGGGGCAACGACAGTCTGACGCTCAAGCGCGAGCATTTCTGGCAGACACACGTCCAGTGTGTTCGCAGCCCCTGATAAAGCGACATGGACTGTTTTCTCGCCCGGATCGCAAAGTCTGCTTCGGGCGCATTGGCATCATCAACGGCGTCAGGACTGTCTCGAGCAATTATCCGGCGTTTCTTTGTGAGCATATCCATATTTTGGAACTCCTCGAGGAGAGGATCCTGGTCTCGCTTTCGTTTGCTTAAACTAATTGCTGCGTTCATCGGTTGGCCTCCCAGTCCATCTTCCTGTTGTAGGATTCGATTGGCCGCTTCGAGGTTCGGGTACGCTGCCTTTTGGTTAAAGTTCTATGTCATGCTGCATCAGTTTTGGTTCCGTTGACTGAGATCAGGTGGCTGACAAAGTTGGCATCCTGGTTCTGTTTGACCTGAACGCAATCATTGAGCCTGCGTAATGCATTGGCTTGGTGCTGTGGATCGAGACTTTCAAAGTCTTGGTTCTCGTGCAGTAAATAAGCATCCGTCCGTAACCAAGCGTCGCGCCCCTGCGCTTTCGCCGTCCGAGGAGTTGACTGTTCTGGCGACAAACTTGCTACGTAACCCACTATCCTCATGAACCAGCTGGCTTCTTTGTTCTGGCTCATAGTCGGCGCAATGGAATCGTAATCGCTACACTTTGATGAGTTGTGGCAAACGTCTCTTAGGTCAAACTAGAATGGAATCATGAAATCGAGGCGATGAACCCGTCCTGCGCCAGGCACCCTAGGGATGGGGTCTTCCCGTGCCGTCTCGCCTACCACTGGCTGGAAGTGTGCCGTTAATTACCTCGGGACCCATATTCAGCTTACACAGGACTGTTTCTGAAACGATCCTCGCCTGCAAACCTCTCTTTTGGCCAATCGCGGAAATCCATACTCCCCCTCTACATTTGAGCAGTATCGGTTAACCGCCGAGGCGCTCAGGCACCCACAACGGGATCGCGCCGCGCCTAGCTCCCTCTCATCCCGACTTCCCCTAGCGAATGCCCAAGGCCTTGACCCTCCTCCTCCTCCTCTTCCTCCTGCACCATCGATATCTTCACCGAACAACTCCTCCGAACAGACGAGGATTCAGCACAACCTAGAACAACTGCGCACAGTCATTATGACCGGGCTAGATACTGTTAAAAAACGCCGCGCGCAGCCTGAGAACCTAAACGGCGCAAAGCCAATGGCCGATCCATCGCCCACAACACGGACCGTCACATGGCACGATATTCCCGAGTGGCGGCGGGACAACAAGTACATTCTCACCGGCTATCGCCCGTTGGAAGCAGACTATTTACAAGTTGTCAAAAGTCTCACTTTCTTACACAATGAGACCTGCAACGTTTATACTCATTTGATCGGTGCTGTGTTACTGCCACTCTTGGCGGTCACTATTCTCCGAACTATATATGGGCCACAGTATATTGACGTCACAAGAACCGATTTTATCATGTTCACTATCTTCTTCTGTTCCGCCGAGAGCTGCCTGATCTTCAGCGCTATGTATCATCTTATCGGAAGTCATTCACACGAGGTGGAGCAATTTTGGCACCGGATGGATTTGCTAGGGATCGTTATTGTGACCGTTGGTACCTTCATTCCCGGGATCTACTACATCTTCAATTGCGAACCATTTCTGCAAAAGATTCATTGGACTATTGTCTGTCACCCAAGTCACTCAAATACATCCTCGGTTGTAAGAGGGTGCGACAAGTCTGAGAAGCATGCTGACCAAGTCATTAGGTCGTCCTTTGCGGTTCTGCCACGGCCGCCCTCATCTGTATACCTAAGTTTAGGACATTGCGATGGCGTAAAGTGAGGGTCGGCGCCTATGTGGCCCTCGGTGCTTCCGCCTTTATCCCTTTATTGCACGGCGTGCAGGTCTATGGTCTAGAATATATGCTCGAGTATTCGGGTATGAAATGGTACCTTGTCGAGCTCTTTCTGTACGGAGGGGGCTGCGGCCTTTATGCAGTACGAACACTCTATTTTCCCTACCCCTAACCTTTCCATATCAAGGGAGAGCCATTTCTGACCTGGGAGTACAGTTCCGAATCCCCGAGCGTTTTGCACCAGGGCATTTCGATATCTGGTTCGGCTCCCATCAGATCTTTCATGTATCGATTTTATGCGCCATGTATGTGCATACAATTGCGCTGACGCAGGCTTTCACGGCATGCCATACGTTGGACATATGCCACATTCAATCTGTTCATCAAGCTAGGGGCAAAGGCTTATGACAGCCGAGGGCTCAGGGTCAGTAAGGAGGTGCAAGTAGCATGCTTGGTTCCTAGTTCTATCACACTTACGGGACCGAGCTGGTCAAATGGTATCACATATGCTTTAGATTCTGACAAGGCACCTAACAAATATGTATCCAATCAGATCGCCAGAAAAACACTTTGTCTTCGAAACGCTGTAATAAGCCCACCGGAGGAACTCTTCCGATCCAGGATATCAAAAGTGCCTTATCGGAATTTAGTTGCCAGTCAGCCAGTGGGATCTAAATGAACACTTCAATCTATGATTGTTTCTACATCCGTGCATAAACTGATTAAACTGAGTGGGTCTCTTTACCAAGTTCATTGACACCTTTGCGTTTTCTTGAGTTTTCTTGCTCCCTGAGAGCGCGTTGGTTTGACCAATGGTGTTGTTCAGCAAACCGTTGGCTGGAGTGGAGATCTTTATGCCCGGAATCATAGAGCACAGCACGCCATTGCAGAACCTGCAGGGGGTGCAAGAAGACTTCTAATATCAAACTGAGGGGCTAAAAATACTTAGTCTAAGATCCTCTAAGTCTATACTAAATTATACTAAGTTTACCTAAATTTACCTAAAGCTTTTTGTCATTTAGGATCAAGGTCCTGAGTTTTATTGCATGCCCCAGACCCTGCAGGGGCCACACTCCCCAAATGGAACCACAGCCACACCGACGTCACTCCTCGTTCCACCAAACCATCTTACACGATACCCAGCGATAAGAAACCCAAACAAACAGAACAAACTTTGTCAACAAAAAAAGACTCGCCCATCGGGGTTGGAGCAACCATGTTGTCAAGGTTTTTCAACACGGCGTATGCCGCCGCCATGTCGTCCCGCGGAGAGTACCAACCCCTCCCAAACAACGATGAACCGGAAAACAACACCAACACCATGGAGGGACAAGAGGCCAGAGCTGAGAATTATCGCGATGCAGCGGCTATGCTGCTCATCAAAATGGGCCGTTCGCCGGATGAGCAGATCACCATCTCGCCAGCTGACGATGCGCGGATCCTACGACGCATTGACATTGCGTTGCTCCCCCTCATGCTCTCGGTATACTTCCTGCAAGCCTTGGACAAAGCAACATTATCATATGCCTCAATATTCGGGCTTATCGAAGACACCAACCTCGAAGGCGGTCAGTACTCATGGCTCGGCAGCATTGTGTATCTCGCGCAATTAATAATGCAGCCGCCTCTCGCCCTCGCATTGGTCAAGTTGCCCATTGGAAAACTCACGAGCGCCATGGTTCTGGCGTGGGGAGTCACGCTTGTTCTCATGACCTGGGCGAGTAATTTCAAGACGCTGATGGTTGCGAGGTTCTTTCTGGGTGCGTTTGAAGCTAGTATTGGACCGAGCTTTATTGCGATTACGCAGATGTGGTGGAGGAGAAGGTATGTTTGATGGGTTGTGGTGTGAGATGGTACTGATGGTTTGAAGAGAGCAGACGTTGCGGATTGGATCGTGGTACTGCATGAATGGGTTGACGTGGGTGGTGAGTATTATGTTCTTTGTTGTTTGATCAGAACTAATCCTCCATAGCTTGGAAGTCTCATTACTTATGGGCTTGCACGCATTGATTCCAAGATGAAGCCCTATCAGGTACATCACACTGCCTCTTTTACATGTGGCTGGACTAACGACAGTAGATCATCTTCCTCTTCTTCGGTGCAATCACAGTCGGGGTCTCGTTCGTCATGTTCTTCTGGATGCCCAATTCACCCACCGAAGCTAAGTTTCTCACCGACGAAGACAAGATCATTGCGATCGAGCGTCTTCGCAACAACCAGATGGGTGTCATGTCTCGGGAGTGGAGGATGTCTCATGTCGTTGAGACACTGAAGGACCTCAAGACATGGTGCTGGGTAGCCATGATCTTCTGCATCTCGGTTCCCTCAAATGGCATTTCGACCTTCGGCCCTCTGATCATCAAGTCATTTGTGTCGGATCCATTTGAGACGATGTTGTTCAATGTACCTGTTGGGGTTTCGCACATCATCGCTGTGTCGGCGAGTGCTTATATCGCCATGAAGTGGAAGCTCAAGGGCCCGGTTATTGTTATGCTGTGTATACCTCCCATCGTTGGGTGTGCCATTATGTTACACTTTGAGCATAATCTTGAGAACAAAGGGGTTTTGCTGGCTGGCTATTTCTGTTTGTGCACGTACACTGGCATCAGTAAGTATTCTGCCATCTCTTATCAGACTTTATCTAACAGTATTCAGCACCCTTGATTTACTCATGGTCATCGCAAAACACAGCCGGCGACACAAAGCGCAAGTCCACATCGGCACTCATCTTCATCAGCGCCTCAGCCGGCAACATCGTCGGTCCTCTCCTCTACTCCCCCGACGAAGCACCAGCCTACACCCGCGGTCTTCGCTCCAACCTCGCACTCTACATAGTCGTTATCGCTCTCGTAGTGGTAACTTCACTGCACCTCGCTCGCTTGAACCGCCTTCACAGCCAGCGCCGAGTCGCCCTTGGAAAGAGTGCCGTGCTTGTTGATCGAAGTCTGGAGACGGCAGAAGAAGCGGAGAGGATAGAACACATGGAGAGATCATTGCGTGGAGGGGTACTGCGTGAGGCGGAATATAATGAGGATGGCAGGGTTGCCGAGGCGGGCGATTTGGAAGGGGACAGAGCGGATCGGAAGGATGAAGATAAAGGGTTTGGTGATATCACGGATTTGGAGAATGAGGATTTCTTGTTTGTGTTTTGATACCCTGGCACAGGTATATTCAACGACGTTACGACTGTTTACATAGAGACACAAAGATTCAGTATCACAATTTACGTCTTTCTTTGACAGTTTAAAGTCAGCAACAGTGAAGTATTTGAGCTATTCTAAGACTGATCCGCCAAGCTGCCAATGCCGTTCAGTCCCGTCTTCTGGTGCGTTGTCTAGCTCATACATTTATCCCAGCTGCCCAGGCTTCAGTACGCAAAAAAGAATGGGGTTTCTCAGCGGGTGTGCTAAAAAGAAGCTGGCAGATGCTTCCCAATCCCCATCTACAAATGTCGAGTTATTTCTGTCGTTCCCCATCGAATTCTTACCTGTAGCCAGGTGCACAGCAGCATTGCCACGATTTAGCACCGCCACTCTTGGCCCCAGACCAAGTCAAGCCGCAGATGACGACGCAAAAACATGGATTGGAAGTTGGACATGAAGAGCTGAAACTGGTTCGGTCAAAAGCTGAGTAAGAGGCTTGGATGCCTCCACGTTTCTTATATCTGACTATTTGTTTGCTGCATCCTCAATACCTCATCAATTCACCTCGTTATTCACTTGTTCTTTGAAGCTGAAGTGATTCCCCACATTCAGCCCCTCCAAGTGCCCCTCCATCATCACGGATACTCTACAGAGACCACGAGTTGGGCATTGCACCTGGTCAAGTGTCCTTCTTATAGCTTCCGTTCTCACTGCACTGATCGGAGTATTTTTATCAAGTACTTTTACGTCTATTAGCTCCGTCAAAATGGGTGGTGGTCCTGAAGGTTTCCGCACCGTCGCTTACTTTGTCAACTGGTATGAAACTACCCTGCACCAAGATCTTGAACTCAGCTAACTAGAACAGGGCCATTTATGCCCGAAAGCACCGTCCTCAAGATCTTCCCGTTGAGAACCTCACACATGTTCTCTACTCATTCGCCAATGTCCGCAGCGACTCTGGCGAAGTGTAAGTTGCATTCAACTCTCATCTCAATGTAGCCCCGCTAACATGATCAGCCATCTCACCGACTCATGGGCTGATACCGACATTCACTGGGACGGCGACTCCTGGAATGACCAAGGCACCAATTTATACGGCTGCATGAAGCAGCTCAACCTTCTCAAGCGCCGCAACCGCAACCTCAAAGTTCTTCTCAGTGTCGGAGGATGGACGTACAGCAGCAACTTCAAGGCTCCTGCCAGCACGCCCCAGGGACGCGACACCTTCGCCAAGAGCTGCGTTGACCTTCTCAAGAACCTCGGATTTGACGGAATCGACATTGATTGGGAGTACCCTCAGAATGAAGGCGAGGCTAGAGACTACGTTGAGCTGCTTGCTGCCGTTCGACGTGAGATGGATGCTTATGCTCAGACTTTGAGCCAGCCTTATCATTTCGAACTGACCGTTGCTTGCCCTGCTGGTGCGAAAAACTTCCAGCAGCTCGACATCCGCGGCATGGATCGATATCTTGATTTCTGGAACCTCATGGCCTACGACTATGCTGGATCTTGGGACTCTGTTGCGGGCCACCAGGCGAACCTGTACCCATCTCCCGACAATCCCCAATCAACACCCTTCTCTACATCGGCCGCCATTGACTTCTACGTTCGCAGTGGCGTGTCCCCCGGAAAGATCGTTCTCGGCATGCCCCTCTACGGTCGAGCTTTCCAGAACACCGATGGTCCAGGCCGCCCCTACCAAGGCACCGGTGAAGGAACCTGGGAGGCTGGTGTTCACGACTACAAGAAACTTCCCCTTGAGGGCGCTACAGAGTATGGGGACAGGGGATGCTGCGCAAGCTACTGCTACAACCCTCAGACACGAACCATGGTCACATACGACACACCGCGAGTTGCGTGGGACAAGGCCGAGTATGTCAAGAAGTGGAAGCTCGGAGGTGCAATGTGGTGGGAGAGCAGTGCGGACAAGACGGGCGATCAGAGCTTGATCACGACGGTTGTGAATGGGTTTGGTGGACAGGGTGCGCTCATGAGACAGGATAATTGCATCGAGTATCCTGCGACCAAGTATGATAACTTGCGAAATGGATTCCCAAACAATTGAGGCGAAGTGGATTTGGTGGGTCAGGGAGTAAGATGAGTGTTGGTGTTGAACGAGCGCTCACTTGCAACGAAATAACATAAGTAAACGAACAGTATGAATAAATCACGGCCTCAAGAAGAATCAATAAAACACAATATTAAGTTTACAGATCCTCCTGCATGCACCCATGATATCTACAGTCTCATCAATCGATGAGGAGAGACCCTCCACGTGACCACTCACTAGCCACACCAGCCTCAGTTGGTCCGTGCACAAGCTGCCAGAAAATTTCCACCTGGAAAAAAAGTGTGAAAATCTTAAGCCTCGAGCCATCACCAAACCCATTCGACGCGGAATCATTCCCAATTGCGGCACCGGCAGGGAACGACAAGATGTCGCACATCGACTACGCTCTATACGAATCCCCCGTGGGCTATGCCCTCTTCAAGGTGGTGCATCAGCAGGATGCGGTGGGCCTGAAATTGAAGGAGACTCAGGCCGCCGCCAACGATCTCGCCAAGTTTGGCAAGATGGTCAAGCTGGCCAACTTCAGCCCTTTCAGGTATTTGCAACTCGGGTGTGCGATGCTGATGGATGCGCGATAACTGACACTTAAAAAAGGGGTCACGTCGAGGCTCTTGAGAACATTAACCTCGTCTCTGAGGGTATCGTCTCGGACTACCTCAAGTCTGTCCTCGAACTCAACCTCCCCCAGACCAGCGGCAAGAAGACCAAGGTTGTCCTTGGTGTTTCCGAGAAGAACCTTGCTGGCGCGATCAAGGGCCTGTTCCCCGGCCTCGAGTGCGAGACTGCCGATACCTCTGACATTGTCGGCGACGTTATTCGCGGTATCCGACTCCACGCCGACAAGCTTCTCGGCGGACTCAAGTACGGCGATGTTGAGAAGGCCGGTCTGGGTATGGGTCATGCCTACTCCCGTGCCAAGGTCAAGTTCAGCGTCACCCGCAATGACAACCACATCATCCAGGCTAGCGCGACCATCGACTTCCAGGACAAGGGCGTCAACCAGTTCTATATGCGCGTTCGCGAGTGGTACGGCTGGCACTTCCCTGAGCTGATCAAGATTGTCTCCGACAACTACACCTACTGCAAGCTTGTTCTGGCCATTGGCGACAAGAAGAGCTTGAACGATGAGAAGCTCCACGACATTGCCGCCCTCGTGGGTGAGGATGGTGAGAAGGCCCAGGCCATCATTGACGCCGCCAAGGTTTCCATGGGTCTCGACATCTCTGCTGCTGACCTTGAGATCGTCCACGGCTTCGCCGAGGCTGTTGTCAAGCAGGCCGACAACCGCAAGTCCACCTCCGCCTACCTCGAGAAGAAGATGTCCGACATCGCCCCCAACCTGCAGACTCTCATTGGCACTCCCGTTGCCGCCCGCCTCATCTCTCACGCTGGTTCTCTGACCAACCTCTCCAAGTACCCTGCCTCTACTCTCCAGATTCTCGGTGCCGAGAAGGCTCTTTTCCGTGCTCTAAAGACCAAGAGCAACACTCCCAAGTACGGTCTCATCTACCACAGCAGCTTCATTGGCAAGGCTGGTCCCAAGAACAAGGGTCGCATCTCTCGATACCTTGCCAACAAGTGCAGTATGGCCAGTCGTATCGACAACTTCTCCGAGGAGCCCTCCACCCGCTTTGGTGAGGCTCTCAAGCAGCAGGTCGAGGACCGATTAGAGTTTTACGCCACTGGCAAGAAGCCCGCCAAGAACACTGATGTCATGGTATGTGTACTCGAAGCGCAATGACTGATCGAAGCTAACTACTTTGCAGAAGGGAGTTATGGACCTCCTTGACGACGGTGATAATGCTGGCTCCGACGAGGAGATGGCTGACGCTCCTGAGCCCGAGACCAAGAAGTCCAAGAAAGACAAGAAGGAGAAGAAGGAAAAGAAAGAGAAGAAGGACAAGAAGGAGAAGCGCAAGCGGGACGAGGAGGATGCCGAACCCGTGAAGGAAGACGGCGAGAAGAAAAAGAAGAAGAAGAGAAAGTCCAAGGCTGCGGATGACGAGTAGAGCTCTTCCTATTGTTTGAGAGCGTCTGGTTTATGCTGTCTCTTCGACAGAGCGTTCCAGGAACACGGATAATGGGAGATGCATCTTCAGTCATGATAGACGTTGCGCAAGGGTAAGTCGGACTCTGGTTCAACGTCTCCCGCCCAGCAAACTCTCCTCGCGCGGAGTCTCAAACGACTCGCTCCAACAGAAGCATCGCCCCCGGCGACAGCGATGGATGGCACGCGGGAGAACTTGCTTCCAGGGCCCTTGCGCAACTGTTTGAGGAGTTTTTGTAGGATCTTGATCTCTGGCTTTTGGGCGTTTGAGGGCATTTGGCTTGATTGTAAAAGACTGTTTTTCACTACGAGGGAAAACTCATACCCTTTGTTTACAAAAACATGCAAATTCACTGAAGATTGCGCTTGTCGTTTGCCGTGATTGGGACTGTGAATGCACAGTTGAGCGTGTATGCTCTCGTGGTGATGGAGACATCATAGTCAGTGGCGCATGAACATACAGGCTCAAGAGAGAAACTGAATAAGTGACATTCATTGTAACCTTCGTACGCTAGTTATCTGAAGCCTGCTGCTGTGCTCTTGACTCACCCTTGTCCGATCGCTTGGTGTTGACGACGTGCCCCACCAGGGCAAACGAGGCTCTGGCGAGATGAAAATTTCACCAGTGGACACCAAGAAATTCATGCGAGGCTGCGAAATTCAACTGATAAGGATTGATATGAATGATAGTTGCAAGGGTATTGGCAATTTTGCAATGGCTTTGGGGGTTTGTTGAGTAGGCCATAATGGTTACCGTACAAAGGACATTCCTGACTGAATTTTGGTGCAGGTCTAAGTGGCAAATCACCATGACAAGCAGACAGAAATGTCCAGGTACAAGCAAAGTCACAGGAGAGAACGGGTTGTGTAATTTAACAAGTTTGTCGTCTCAATCAAGCATGCATTATCTCAGAAACCGGATGTGCTTTATGCTACAAAAGCCCGTCAACGCCCGTTTTTGGCACCCAATCCGATCCGTCATCAATCCCAATTCAAATCCCTTGGTCATGCATTTATTGCTTGTCGAAGACGTAGGTGAGGTGGCAGCGACCGCAGTACTGGCGGTCCTGCATGGCAGCCATGAAGACACCAGCGCCGCACTAAAACGGTCAGTTTCCATTTGATACAAGTCATGGATGCAGGTGTAAAACTTACGGTGTCGGCGGGGCACTCGCGTCGAAGTCGCTCGATCTTGCCGTCAGAGTCGACCTTGTAGTACTTGAGGACAGCCAGCTTGGTCTTCTTGCGCTTGTGCTTGATCTTCTTGGGGGTGGTGTAGACCTTCTTCTTGCGCTTCTTGGCCATACCACCACGGAGGCGGAGGACCAGGTGGAGGGTGGACTCCTTCTGGATGTTGTAGTCGCTCAGGGTGCGGCCATCCTCGAGCTGCTTGCCAGCAAAGATGAGGCGCTGCTGGTCGGGGGGGATACCCTCCTTGTCCTGGATCTTGGACTTGACGTTGTCGATGGTGTCGGAAGACTCCACCTCAAGGGTGATCGTCTTCCCCGTGAGGGTCTTGACGAAAATCTGCATCTTGCCTAACTGAGACGGTTAGAATCCAGGTTCCCAAGTGTGTGAAGCACGAAGTGTCCGGCTGCGTCGGGCGGAGTGCTGTCTCGTTCTTGCGCGTGCGACATCTCGAGTTTTTTTTCTTCTCGAAGATGAACGGCGTGGCTGCTCAAAGTCGATAATAAAAAGCGTCGAGTTGTGCGCGCAGAGAGAATTGCGATTCGATATAACAAAAGAGCAATCCTCAAGTGAAAGGCAATGAAGCCCTCACAGAGACGGGTATTTGCAGCATCTTTCAGACGTACCTCGACAATAAGAACTATTGCCTTCCTAAGCAATCCTCAGATGGTGCGAATTGGGGTTGAAGAAGATCGACTTTTGGTGGAGGGCAGCGCTCGTTCAGAAAACAACCAGTCCAGCCAGTGGAGTCTGGTCACATGATTCAGGGTTTTCACTTTTTTGGGTGAAACTGGTGCGGTGGATCCCGCTGACCTCAGCGTCTGCAGGCTTGAGATCCCGGCGTCTTTGCCCTAGCCACCTGCCCACCAAACCAACCCGAGAAAAGTGGACTGGCCCTCAACGTCAATCGACTAAACGCACATTTCAAGAGAGCGCCTCTTCTCTTCTTCTTTTCCTTTTTCTCTTCACTTGCGTGGACCTGAATATTTACATCAGCAGCAACCGTCAAAATGGTCAAGAAGAGAAAGAACAAGTACGACTTCCCCTCTCCCTGCCTCCCTCCGCCTGCAATCGCATCGCACACCATCATCGCCGACGGAGACGAAACAACACCAACTGTCGCGATGATGCTCGACAACGATTGAACACATACTCTGAACAAAATGCTAATAAGCTTTTTACAGCGGCCGAAACAAGAAGGGCCGCGGCCACGTCAAGCCCATCCGATGCAGCAACTGCTCGCGATGCACCCCCAAGGATAAGGCCATCAAGAGATTCACCATCCGCAACATGGTTGAGTCTGCTGCTATTCGTACGTCTTTCTCCCTCGCTTGTCCCAACTTTTCGCTTACAATTCAATTCACAGGTGACATCTCGGATGCCTCCGTCTTCGCGGAGTACACCGTGCCCAAGATGTACCTGAAGCTGCAGTACTGCGTCTCTTGCGCCATTCACGGCAAGATTGTCCGGTACGTTGTCCTCCCCGGGAGTGTGACAACTGCGCCCTGGTTGCGTATGTGCTTCAGATGAGCCTTGGAGTACTTTTGAAATCATACACACTCCCAGACCTGCTGCGCAGTTGATGCACACACTCCCAGTACGTTTCTCCCCGCCGAATTTGAGCTGACCAGAATGTTATAGCGTCCGATCCGTCGTTGGCCGACGCAACCGTGCCCCTCCCCCTCGCGTCCGCTACAACAAGGACGGCAAGAAGATCGTCCCTACTGCCCCTAAGGTTTAAGTGGGTTGATATGGCTTGTCTTGGGATGGAGTCCGGTTATGATAGCATCATTCAAAAAATAACGGATGGGATGAATACCTCTGGGCTTATGAGTCTAAGAGATTCTAAAATTGAATCGGACGACGTTTGATGTCCACACGTCATTGACAAACACTTGCTTGTTCCTCTCTTTGCTCTGTGTGATTGATGTGACTGTTTAGTCTTGATGTTGAATGTATGTGACCGAGTGTTACGTCGCTTCCAGTGACCTTTTGTAGATGTGCGTTGAATTGATCTCATTGTGTAGTCTGTTGTCAGATTCGTCTTGCCGGTATGCTACGACCCAATTGACTGATATTTGATGTCTTCCATTGCTTCGGGTACATCTGGTTATCCTTTGGAGGCTGTCAATTTATTTGTGTATGTATTTTGAGGTAATGTGCTGTGATTGAAGTGCTAATAGTTTATTGTGGTGGACTCCACACACTAAATAGGATGAAGTCACATCCAAGTTCGAGAGACATTCCTACGATAATTAGTCCACGGCGAACGTCTGTTGGACGATGAAAGTCAATCGACATATTAAATGAAACTTCGAACAAATCGACGATATCTAAATAAAATTATTCAACGAATTACTCCTCATTGCGTGGCTGATTGCTCTCTCAGTAATATACCCCCAAACTACCCTAAAACCCTCCATCAAACTGCTGCACCAAATCCGTGCCATTCTCCGAACAAGCAAACGCATCAACACAAACACCGCCACCACAACAACTTCCCGTCAAGCACAAATACCCATCCCCGCAATCCCCATCAGCTTCACAGCTCCCCTTGTAATTCGTACACTCCGTCCACTCAAACGCAATGCCTACACCCGCCGCACTCTTACCGCACACGCACCCTGTGCCGGGGATGATGGCGTCGCGGGGATACGAACATGTAGCGCCTTCTCCTTCTGCGACAGCGCTGTTGGGACAGCAGGCGATGCGCGATGAGTCCTGTACCGTGATGTTGTAGGGTTTTGTTGTCTCGGGGGCCCAGTTGAGGGTTGTTATGGCCGGTATGCTTGTTGCACCGGCGATGAGGGTTAGGTTGAGGGGGATTTCGCCTTCGTGGAGAGACTGGCAGATGTCGTTTTCGAAACTTCGGTGGGTATTGTACACGTCGATGTAATCCTCCAACGCGCCCTGTGAGGTCTCTGTATTCTTGGTGAAGATTGCTCCGAGAGCCTGCCAGAGCTGGGTGTACGCTGTCACAGCGGCATCAGCCTCTTGCTTTGCTCTGCTGCTTGACAGACCCTGATTGGCAAGGTCTTTGCGAAGCTGTTCAGGGTCAACGATATCTTGTCCTGATTGTTCGAGCGTGGTGACGACAGTGGACAAGTCTGGGCACGCACCACCGAATGGATCTGTGCTGATGAAGTCGACGACCTTGTTCTTGATAGCCAACTGACATCTCAAGGAGCCAGACTCAGACCCTGGAAATGTACACTCAAAGTCCCAGCGACCGGTTTCATTATCAACAGCGACATCGGCACAGACTGTATCGCCTACAAGAAGCTGAGGATACTGTCTGACCGACCTGTCAACGGGATTCCCGCATTGGTCATGCAGGTACAGAATCTGACTGAAGTCCAAATCCTCGGCGCGCTTGCGTTTGAGCGCAGCACATTGTACACCCGCCAAGTCGGCAATCTGCTCGTACATATCGTCAATCGAGATCGATATGTCGTACGTGCAGTTACTGCCCGAGAAGTGAATCCCCTCAGCATCAAGCGTGACCAGATACCCATGAGTATCAACGACGGAAAGCCTGCCCCGATGAGAAATGTCGACATAGTAGACCCCACCTTGTTCATCGCGAACAGTGAGATACAGTGGATTAATGCCATCCTTCTCAAACTCAACAGACTCGATGTATGGAATGGGGATTGAGACGTTGTCTTCTCGAAGTCTCGCGTTGTACAGCAACGCTCGGCGGGTCGAATCACTGTCTGGGTTGGGGAGAGTGTAGCATGTTTCTTGCGAGATGGCGGCGGTGCGTGTGACGTGGGTGAAATTTGCGGCAGGGAACTCGGGAACGCCAGTTGTTGTTGCGTTACTACCCGGTGACGCGGGACCGTTGGAGGCGCCGGACGTTGAAGTTGCAGCCACAGGACTCGAGAAGGATGTAACGGTTCCAGTACTCCCAGGCGCAGAGCTCGTTGTGTCACCGCTTGGAACAACACTTTCGCTGACGGTAGTGCTGGGGACCTCGTTTGAGACTGTTGGAAAAGGCAGAGTTGGGATTTCAGAGGTTGGTACACTGATAGTTGGGAGGGAGACGATGCCTGAGATGGACGATGTGATGTTCCAACCAACGCCACCGCTCTGAGAACTGGTAAGAGCTTCTGACTCTGTTGGAAGAGTCACAATTGAACCAGACTCAGAAGAGTCGACTGTCCTAATCGAGGCAGAGCCTTCAGAACTCTCAGTTGTTGTGTTCCAACCAGACACAGTGTCACTTCGGGCCGACCCTGACGTTGCTTGAGACACTGTCGGCAAAGATACACTTGGGAACGGAACCAGCGATGAAGTCCCTGTCTGCGATACACTGATCGCTGGGACCGAGACATTACCTCCAGGCGCAGAAGTGGTGCCATTCCAGCTCGGAACTGCGCTGCTGCCTGGCACTGAGGTTGTTTCAACCCCAGACTCAGTCGTGATCGACTCACTCGGCAGCGGCAGTGTTGGGAACGGCAATGTTCCACCTCGAGTTATACTGATGGATGGTATAGTGAAGTTGACACCTGGTATAGTAGTGCTGTTCCGATCTGGGAACTGATTCCCACTTGTCTCTGGGCCTGTCGTGAGAGTATCGCTTGGGAAAGGCTGAGTTGGAAATGGGACAAAGGTTTGCGACGGGGATATACTGATAGTTGGTATAGTCACGTTGCCACCGGATGGTAGGGAAGTGCTATTCCAGCTTGGCGAGATGTTGCTGCCCGATGCTGCCTCAGCTGACGAGAATTGACTCGGTAGCGATACCGTTGGGAATGAAATGAAGGACTCGCTGGATGTACTGGCGGTTGGCACTGAGGTGTTACCCCCAGGAGGTAGAGACGTGGCGTTCCAGCTTGGCGAGACACTACTCCCTGATGCTGAACTTGGAAGGGATGCTGTCGGCGACGGGATAAATGACCCGCTGGAGGTACTGGCAGTCGGCATCGAGGTATTGCCACCTGAAGGCAGAGAAGTGGTGTTCCAACTTGGAGACAAACTGCTCCCTGTTGTGGCCTCTGCTGAGGATGACGAACCCGGGAATGGTACTGTCGGGAATGGTACTGATGACCTACTCGATGTGCTCACCGTTGGTACTGATACATTACCACCTGATGGGAGGGAAGTACTGTTCCAACTTGGACCCAAGCTACTGCCCGAAGTGATCTCTGCGGAGGAGGGTTGCGCTGAAGTCGAAGCACTAATAGTCGGTAGCGAGGTGTTACCACCAGGAGGAAGAGAGGTACTGTTCCAGCTCGGGCCGACACTGCTCCCTGAAGTGAAGCCCCCTGAAGACGTTGGAAAAGGCACCAAGGTCCCGTTGGAAGTACTTGTAACTGGCGCCGACGTGTTTCCCCCAGACGGAAGAGACGTGCTATTCCAGCTGGGTCCGAAGCTACTCCCCGAGCTTGCTTGGCTTGATACCGACGAGGTTGGAAACGGAACGAATGTGCCACTCGAGATACTAACTGTCGGTACCGAGCCATTCCCTCTCGACGTGGTGCCATTCCAACTTGGACCTACACTCCCACTTGGCGAACCACCAGAGCTTGTGGAGACCGAGGCGGTTGGGAACGGGACGAACGTCTCACTGGATATACTGACCGTAGGAACTGAACCATTGCCCATCGAAGCGGAGGTAGTTCCATTCCAGCTTGGCCCTGTTGTGCCACTAGATGAGGCCCCAGATGCTGTAGGGAAGGGTACGAAAGTTCCGCTGGAGATACTGACTGTAGGAGCTGAGCCATTACCTCTCGAGGTAGACGTGGCGTTCCAACTTGGAGCCACACTACCACTCGATGAACTCCCAGAACTAGTGATGTCCGATCTTGTAGGAAAAGGCACAAAACTTCCACTTGTTGAGAGACTGATAGTTGGAATCGAACCATTTCTTGTTGGGACCAAAGTCGTATTCCAACCTGGACCTACACTCCCACCTGTCGTCCCAGAGCCAGTGGTCACAGACACCGTAGGCCCCGAATCAGTAGGGAGAGGCCCTGTCCCAGACTTACCGCCGCTCGGGGCAGTAATACTCGAGTTCCACCCGGTCAAAGTTCCCGTCAGACGTGTCCCACTCTCCACAGGACTCGACGTCGAGTTACCAGGAATCGACCACGGTAGCGAATCGCTCGTAGCGCCAGATCTTGTCATTCCAGATGAATGGGTCGATGCTTGTGATGTTACACCCGAGAGACTTTGGGTACCGTTGCCAGACTGAGAATGAGATGAGGTAGATGCTCGGTCTTGGCTTGAGAAGGATGCTGAGAAGGGACCTTGGGTATCTGCTGGTGACTCTGTGGTGGTGTTCCATGAAGCTGCTGAATCTGATCTTGCGGAGCTTTCGCTGGCTGTTCCTGTAGTTGGATTGCTGCTGTTGGCGTATGTCGTCCTCGGGACATCTCCTGTTGTCTCCCGAGCCGTCGTCTCTGCACCAGACGTTGCAGTCTGATTCCACGACCCTTCAGTCGTCGAATACGCTCCCCCAGTTGTAGTCTCAGCATACGTCCCCGAACCAGGCTGTCCCACCGACGCCTCTATCGAATCCGAGTATCCCCTCGTCCTAGACTCCGTAGTGCTAAAACTCGCACTCGTCACAATACACTCACACTGCAACTCATAAGCAACCATCCAAACTCATCACGAACCACTCACATATGAAGCTATCCTCGTCTGATTATACCTCACATACTCCACGGGCGTACTATATCCCGCACCGCAGTGATTCCCCTCAAGAACACTCGAACAAAACTCGCCATCGTCTTGAATGAGCGATGAGTAAAGATCATCATGTGGACAAGCGATCGATTCGTTCCAGTTTGCCGGAAAAGCAGTGACCAAGTGAACGACAAGAGGGAGTAGCATCAACATGATGCGTAAACGAGTGTATAGCGATGAGCGAGAATAGCCAAAGCTTGCCTTGATTGTAGGCGTTACTTATAGGACGCACAGCAGCCATATCCCAATGTCGAGGCCGCCCACGTATAATCTGCCGAGACACAACATCGTTGACACGCAAGACATACATACAGAGCCGAGAAAGACCGGCACTTGCTGTGTGGTACGGCATCGACGGCTGCGAGATCGAAGGGCGCGGGTGTCTGCAGGGGTTCGCTTGGGGATCCTTAATGTCCCAGGTCTTCAGGTCTAGACGCGCTCGGTGACACGGGAGTTGGTTCCTGGATCGTGGGACGCGAGGGTGATACGAGGGGAGGACGGGGTTCAGGTTGAGTCTTTTTCACGGCGTGATGGGAGATGGCAAAGTGAGGATGAGCGTGAGTGACGTGGCATGTGAACGTTAGCTGGACACAACGGGAGTAGATGAAGCACTGTATCGGTGAGCCGAGGAGAGGTCAAAGATGAGGGATATCAGAAAACACCAAACATTGGATATATCATAAATCTAGCCTCCATATCATTAGAATAACCCGCCAAAGCCATATCCATAGTCATCATCATCGTCATATACAAGCCCTCCCTCTCACCCATTACCGAAAGGGCAATATCGTCGTATTACCCCCAACCTGCGTGCGCTGCTGCGACGAGTGTCCCGGCGGTCTCGCGATGTAGTCCTTGTTCTCAATAGTGACACTCTTGGTCATATGATTGACCTTGTACACACCCACCAACCGCGCCGCAAGCTCAAACATGTTGTTGCGCAGCGAGATGACGATGAACTGGGCGTTCTTGGTACGCTCCTTGATGTAGTTTGCCACGATCGAGACCTGCGCTGAGTGTTAGCATAGTGGTTCAATCAGAGTTTAGAGCGATCGATATGCATGAGGAATGCCCACGCGATTGTGGTCGAACTGTAGCCGAGTGTCTTGGGTTAGGGTAGTACTCACGTTTCTGAAATCCAGCGCAGCATCGATCTCGTCCATGACATACAGAGGGGTAGGCTTGTAGTGGTGCAGAGCGAAGACGAGAGCCAAACTGCTGAGTGTCTTTTCACCACCGGAAAGGTTGCTGATGTTCTTCCAGCTCTTCTTGGGGGGCATGACGCTGAAGAGAATACCTTCGCTGAAGGGATCCAAGCTGTCGACGAGTTCAAGCTCTGCGTTGCCGCCCATGGTGATCATCTGATACATTTCCTTGAGTCGGAGGGAAATGGCGCTGAAACCTTCCATGAACCCTTCTAAGCGTAGTCGGCGCAGGTCGTCGCATCGCTTCTTGGCAGAATCTCGCTGTTCAATGGCAGTTTGGAGATCTGAGGCACGAGCAGCGTGCTCTTCCACTCGTCTTCGGTACTCAGCGAGGACGCCGAGGTCGACGTTGACATTTTGAGTCTTCTCCTCAAGAGCTGCAATCTCGCCCTTGAGTGTCCTCTCATTCATGTCGGCGAGCTCGTCGGGTGTATATCTCGGAAGCTCGTTTGGCTGCCCATTGACAGATTCCTCCTCGTCCTCTTCCTCTTCTTGATCCTTCTCTTCCTCCTCGGCTTCTTGGGGAGCGTCGGTCATGTCCACATCATCCGGAGGGGCATCATCCATGTCGATGTCATCATCGTCGTCCGTCTGAGGCTTGGGCTGTGATTTGGACTTCTTGGAGCGGATGCCCGATGAGCCTCCAGTAAGGTCGTCAATATTCTGCAGAACAATCTTCGACAGCTTATCGTCCCAGTGGCGAAGTCGTGCTTGATTCTCAACAAGAGCCTTCTGGTTCTCCTCAAGCTTGTTGCGCATTTCAATCTCAACCGCTCTTGTCTCGTTGAGCTCAGCTGTCTTCTCGTTGAGCTCGCTCTTGAGCGCCTTAAGCTCCTTCTTCTTAGCGGCCAATCCTTCTTCAGCCTCCTCAGCTTGTGCTTGAAGCTCTTCAGCTCTCTCGCCCTGGTTGTTGATGTCGTTCTCAAGCTTCTCAAGATCCCGAGTAGCAGCCTCAAGCTCCTTGGACGATTTCGCATGATCCTTTGCCAGCTTGATCTTCTGCTTCTCCGCCTTGACCTTACGGACCTCAGCATTGGAGATCTCTTCGTTGTTGGAGGATATCTCCTCCTTGATAGAATCGACCTTGGCCCTTTGTGCACGAAGCTTCTCACCACCAACTTCCATGATCTTGTCTTGCAGAGCCTTGATCTCATCCTCCACGCTAGACGTCTCTTCATGAAGTCTCTCGATCTCCTTGTTGAGCTTTGCGATCTCCTTCTGCAGAGCAGCGATGCGACTGTTGTCCGAGGCCGAGGGCTGGTGCTCCTTGCTGACTTCCTTCATGCGTCGTTGCATGTCGGCGATGTTTCGCTCCGCGCTCTGAATCTCAAGACCAATCTTCTGCATCTTGGTGTCCAGCTGCGGAATAAGCTCGCCCAACTCCCTGAGTCGTGTCTCGCACTCGCGTTGATAATCTTGGAATTCTTTGAACTTTTGTTCCCAGCCATCGCGATCACTCTCAAACTTAGTGACCTGCTCCTTGCTGACGTCTGAGACGAGCTTGGAAGACATGAGACCTCTCTTGACAGTTGAGCCACCACCAGACATGGTACCGGACTTGTCAATGAGCTCACCATCGAGAGTGACTACTCGCCATCGCTTGGCGCCATATGCGATTCTGTTCGCTTGGGCGAGGTCCGCAGCAACAAGTGTATCTTGCATGGCATGGTAGAAGGCAGCTCGGAACTTGTCTTCCTTGGCAGTGACGAGGTCGAACAATCTTGGAGCATTCTCGGGTGTCTGGATAGGCGACATGTCTCGAACTCTCAGCTTGTCCAAGCAGATAAAGTTACCACGTCCGACGTTGTTCTTTCGCAAATACTCGATACACTGCTGACCAGCCTCGACAGTCTCAGTAACAAAGTTGTCGAGGGCACCACAAGCCGTTGAGATGGCGACATCGTACTTCTGATCAATCGTACCAAGGTTACCGAGACGTCCATGGAAGCCATCGATTCGACCAGACTCCTTCATGCGCATCAAGGCAGCGAGAACGTTACCACGAGCCTGTGTGTTAGACAAGCTTGAACGGGCCTCGTCGGCCTTTTGGCGCGCATTCGAGATCTTGGAGCGGATCTTGGGCTCCTGCTCAGAAAGGACTGCGAGCTCCGACTTCATTTTCTCCGCCTCCTCCAGAAGCTCAGTCTTCTCGGCCTGACAGGACTTGAGCTCGGCGCGCTTGGCAGTCTTGCCCTCCTCAATCGAAGCGATCTTGGTCTCAAGGTCTTGAAGGGCAACCGCCCCGGCGTTGGCCTTTTCTTGGAGGATGTTGAGCTCACTCTCAGCGACAGCGACGGCGGACTGCTTCTGGTTGATCTTCTCATTCCAAGGTTCAAGAGATTTCTGCTTGGCGGCAATCTGATCTGAGAAGGCTTGTGTCTTGCCCTTCAGACTCTCTCTAATTCGAGCAAGCTCAGCCTCTGCAGTCTGGATCTGTTCCTCGAGTTCCGCAATCTCCTGGGTTCGGTTCTCGATCTCCTCTCCACACTGCTCGATGGTCTCGTCGGCTTCGGCAGAGTTCGTTTCGGCGTTAGCGATAGCCTTCTCAAGCTTCTTACGCTTGTCGTCCAGGAACTTTCGCTTCTCGTCGAACTTGACACGCTCCTGCTCAAACTTGGCCATCTCCTTGACCAAAGCTTGTGTTGACTTCTCTTGTGCCTCAAACTCCTTAGCACCCTTGGCGTAGTCCTTCTCTAGGCTCTTGATGATCTGTTCGCCTCCATGGTGCTTTTCCAGCTCGGCGTCCAATTGAGCTTGCATTTGGCTAATAGCCTCCTCTGTAACAGCAATATTCTCATTGCACTTGTGAATGAACAATTGGTAAAGAGCAGATTGCTTCATCGCCAGCTCATTCTCATCGCGAATGTAGGCGATCGCTTTGTCCTTCTTGTCTTCAAGGCTGTTCTTTTCCTTCTCGACGTGCTGAACGCGACCGCTTTTTTCCATGCAGACATCATTGAGGGTCTCGACCTCGGTGGCAGATTCTTCGATGGGCGCCTTGTACTTGGAGGTACCGATAATATCCTCAAGATATTCGAGGAGGCCGTCTTCGTGTTCGTTGCCAGCCTTGGCCTTCATCTGAGCAATCGACTCGACCTCACCTTGGAGAATCAGGAATCGCTTGTGGTCAAGATCAACACCTCGATCGCGAAGGAGAGTGGTGACTGTCGTAAAATTGGATTCTTTGCCATTGATGTAATATTTGCTGGAGTTGTTCTTGAAGGCTTTTCGGGAAATGATGAGCTCGGAGTTAGGGATAACCTCATGGCCGCCGCCAGGCTGAGAAAGTTAGACTAGG